ACATGAATCAAGGTATATATTTAGTACTATTTACATAAATCGATTGCATGAAAAAATGAAAAAAACGCAAGCAGATTTCTTTCTGGGGCGCCTATGCCGAAACTCGAAAGCAGTTAGCAAAAATATATTTGTTTACATTCATCCGGGACCTAAATATTTCCCCGAGCTCCGCGTCCCGACCGTCGGTGCGGGCTTGCACTGAATCTTCCTCGAGTTCTCCCAGTCTCTCAGCGCATAAGCCTGTGCAAACACAGTAAACATCTTTTATTTTCTAAAATGTCGCGAATGATCACTCAATTTTAGTATATCTTACTGTATTTACGTTGTTTATGCCTCACATCTATTCAGGTTCAGACGTTTAAAATCAAATAGAAACTTACAGAAGTTCCAGAAAAAGGTTCCAGAGGTTTCCCTACAGTGGATTTCCTTGATGAACACAGTAAACATCTTTTATTTCTTAAATGTCATGATAGTCACTCAATTTTAGTATCTTACTGTATTGCGTTGTTTATACCTCATATCTATTCAAATTCCAGACATTTAAAGTCAAACACAAAATTAGAAGTTCCGAAAGGTTCTACTTTATTGTGATTTGCGCTCCCCTCATTCCGTAAAATCCCCGGTTGTTAACAGACAGACACAAATCGAGATTTCACAAGTATATAGGTCGCGTGGGGGGATGGATCGAGTCATGTCAAGAATACTGTTTTGCCACGCATCAGGCAGCAACTACGAAAAATTGTGTGTCATGATTTAACATTCAGTTTCGTCTTGCAGAGTTGTATTAGTTTGTCGATAAATCGTCCTCCATTGTTGCTGAATATGTTTCTCTTCAAAAATATTTTGCTGTGGCATGCTAGCTGCAATTTCAAAGCAGAAATGTGTAAAAAACGACAATAAATCAATTTTTTCATTGTTTTCCACTGCCAAGAAGTAAAGCAAACATCGGCCGCCGAAAAACACACATTACTTCAGGGGAGCTTGACAAAATTTAGATGTATTTTGGCTTCAGCCAGTCATGGGACAAAACTATAGAGTTATCGTTCAAGATGTATTTTAGTTTTGCGTGGTGTTTACATTTACGTCACGTGATGTTTGTTCTTCCATTTTGATTGTCGGATGTGGACGGTGTGTTTGATTTGTATCTTCTGGTTCCAGATGTTGACGGTCTGCTGCGTTTACCAATTTCCATTTCAGTTGTAGACGCTGTGTTTGAATAATTTATGCTGGTTTCGGCGGTGGACTAACTGTCTCTTGCGATATTTGTCTCTAAGATGTTGAAGGCTAAAAAATAATGACTATTATTTGGCTTTTCAATGACAATCACACGTTTAGTCAATATACACTTTAGATTTCTTTTTAAATAGCATCTGTTCTTAAATAAATTTTCAAGCATAGAAACTAACATATCATGGCTAAAGAATAACCAGTCTATTCCATTTGTAATCCTTTCGCTTGCTTCCATCTGTATAAAATTAGTAGTTAAAATGCTAGCCTTCCGAAAAACAATCGAATTCCTCACTTCAAATGCAGATTGTTGTATAATTAAGCAGTTTCTGGAAGCAGTTTCTACTCCATCTGAGCCTCTTGATCTTTTCACCATTTGCATTTGCATTGAAATACTGGCTTCGCCCATTGACCACCCCAATGTCAGAGACTTAATTTCTTGTCTCACTCTTTCTTCATTCGGAAACAGAACTCCGTGATCTTTTAGCAAGGCAAAAACCATTTCAGTGCCACTGCTACTCCATTTAGTCTTACTCCACTTGGAGCTTGACGTAAATGTCACTTTTGGATTCACGCAGAGTGAACTAGCTAGATATGAGAAATGTCACAATTTACTTTATGATTTGGTCTATGGGCTATGAATTTATTACATACGTTTTTACCAAGATATTTTGTGCTCTATTGACTTCATTATTAAGTCCACGATAATTGGCTGTTCTGTTTGAAGTTGCATGAGACACTTGCGCTTGGTTGGTCTGGAATCCTTCATCCACACTGGCAGGATTGTTTGTTTGAAAAAAGCGATGGCATTGCTTGGATAGAGATCATCAATACCCTTAATATTACCTATGTTATAATTGTGCAAGTGGTCATTGGCTATTGCTCAATTTTTCATGTTATGTGGTTAATAAGGCAGTTACTTCTCAGCAAATGCTACAAAGTGCATGATTTCTTAAACAGCAGTCGTCGATGTTCGGTGCTTCAATGGTAAATTGTTGACAGAGCTCATTAGTTCTTGTTATGCAGAGGTATTCGACAGATCTGCTAATTACCTATGGTCCCAAAGCACTAGACCCTCTTTCCATTATTGCATTGTTTTCCAATTCTGCGTTCTGTTGATTCTCCATTCCGAAAGGACTTCTTGCTTCTTCTTGAAAGGAATTAGGACAAACCTTCCAAATTACTCTACAGCACGTGAAAAAATTACATTGGAGTAAAGCAAACTTCTTCCATAAATACGGAAAAAATCTACCTGGGGTCATTGTTCAATCCCTCTAAAGTGTCCCAATTGACTGTGAACATCGGAATCGTTCGAGGAGCTGTTTCGAAAACACATGTCCCGTCTTTGCCACTGTTGTAGAAAGAGACCGCAACATTTTCAATAACTGTGGGGCTTTTAACGTCGTCGAGCACGGGAGGCAAAGTTGATCTGCTGCATAGCCTGGGGATGAATCTTTCCCTTACTGCTGAAAAGAAGTTTTATCCATTTCCTACAAGACTTATGCGGCTTTTGAACATTTTGTCTTTCCAAGTCTGTTTGTTCCACATACAATGGGCAGAGGACAAAATCCCAGAATATCACAATCATTTCATAATGAAAGCCTAATAACATTGCAGCTATTTTTTGAAAAAAACTAATTAAATCAGTGATCAAGTTTCGCCTGCTCTTCATATTGTTTCATTCAAGTGAATATTAGCAGCTCCATATAAAATTCACTATTAACTACCTCAAAACTTAAATAAGCAACAGGTCTACAAATTACTATTATTCTTTTCATGCTAAAATGGGTTGAATATAAATGTGAAAAATGTATTTTTACATGAAAAAACTTCAGCAATTTTGTAATAAACGGGCGTCACTTGCCAAAATATTGAACATATGTAATGGCTTACACAATTGTGAATACAGCAGCGATACGACATGCAACATGGATATCAGAGTTCACCATTTCACCTAATGTTAAGGAACATAAAGGCAGGTTTACACTTTAGGCCAATGAGTTGCTCAATTCTTTCCGATTCCAAGATTGCCTTGACCATATAATACTGGTCTCTTCTGCTAGTAACGACGACTTTACCATCACCGTTCAATTGCAGGTTTTCGCCCAAAGGCAAACGTCTAATTTGGTTGTCTGCAATGCAGCAAACAGCTTCGTACGTGTCTCACTTCATTGATTTGGCATTTCCTGGAAGCGTTATTTTGTTAAAAGTTCAGGATTTAAATTGTTCATTGATGTTGATTAATTTTATTCATGAAAATAGCTAGAGTTACTTCACTGCAAAATGGTTAGGCTTATTTCATCTCAACATGAAAGAGTTATCACGCTTGTGTATCAAAATGACGGGATAGTTTATCTGATCAGAATAATCTGAATTAGTTCATCATTACATTTTGTGAAATGAGGGCGACAAGACAACGTCTCAATACAGTGAAAATTTGAAAAACAGAAATACATCTTGAATTACGAAAATAATAATTTTTGATAATTTGATTTACCTAAAATAGTTCTTTATCTGCCCTTGATGAAGCATTTGAATTCATGAGGATCGAAGTCACTTGTCAACACACCTGAACTATATGATTTATTTAAACTATGGGACTGGAAGGTACTATTTAGTAATTCATGGTTTGTTCCAGTTTAGGTCATAGTTTAGTAAATCATGAGACATTGATATTCTGTTAGATTCAAGATCTTCTGGCTTTGAGCTTCATTAAATCAATTGACATTGAAGCTTTGGATTCCAAGTAATACATGTTAATGTATAAATGACGATGAACGCGCTGTTTCTCTGAAATGTCTCCATCAAAATGACGGCTTTTTAAAATGAGAACCAAAAAGACAAAAAAGATAATAGATATACATGAAATGTTAGATCTCGAATCACAGATCACAAGAGGAAGGCTATTGGACACTGTGTTAAAAGTTCAGGTGCAAGTTCGATCTTTGACATTAGAAGAAAAAACTTTTCTTGGCAGATGTTTGATTGCGTGACAACATTATTAAAGTCAATAATTATATTATTTAAAATAATAAAACAGAGACTTTGTCGTGGTAACAAAATTTGAATGTCACCAATACCACTATTAATATTCACTATGTGAACTATGTTGGGTTTGATGGTCAGTTACCTGCAAAAAATTCTCGATATCTGTAGGTATGACGCTTTATCTACAAATAATAGTCAGTTTCTACTTTTGTTGACAACAGTAAAAGCCGAATTTGAGAAAGTCAAACAGTAGGGATGTTTATATAGTTTCTAAAGCGATATATAAAAACCTTTTGAACAAAATGATTGTGAAACATTAAAAAGCAGCGAAGCTGGCTTTGAACATATTTAATTACTGAATATTTCAAAGCAGTTACTTTAATTAACCATCTAACAAGGACAAAAGCAAAGGTTTTAAAACTGTTTTACATTGGCATGTTCCATCATTATTTCAATTATTTGAAAGAATAATAAAACAATTATTGAACTTGGCTTTCAAATGATAAAAGAATTATTCAGACATCGGTCAGTATTTATTCGCTTCATGTTCACTTCGGTAGATAACATTGACCTAGGTCTGAATAATTCTTAATATCATGCTCAACATCATTCAACAATAGAATTTTATTTTAAATCCCAACAACATTAGTAATGCAGTATATATTTAGAAACTTGTGAAAAACCTTAATATATATAAACCTATTTAAATTGTATTTAAATGGTTTCCTGAGTTATACGTACCTTCCTTGTTTTGAACAAGATGGAAAGAACTTTTGTCTGACGCTCTTACTTTACTGGCTGTCAAAGAAATTGCTCTCTTGCAGGTAGAGTTAACATATATTTATACTGTTTAATACTTTTCAGTAAGCATACTTCAAAACAACATATTTTCAACACTTATCATGCTAATGATTTTCAAATTATGGAAAAAGAAAGTATTTATGCCATTAATTGAGTTAATCGTCCTTTTCTTACAAGGTCGCTATATTTTCTAATTTTTATTTCTACATTAAATAAATATATATTACTATCTATTTTTCTGTCTCAAATGTTTTTGATGAGTTTGTTCAGTATCAATAGCTATTTTTAGTTGATATGACCAAACAATTTAAACATCTCAACATAACAAAAGAAATTCTTACGACAACATTGCTCAGTTTTGTCTGTTGCGATAGTAATTTATTTATATTTTACTTCACGAGGAGAGCAGAAGCAATAATATGTACAAATTACAAATCTCTCATACCTCGTACTTAATCTTAAATATGCAAGAAGGAAAATTTATTTTGTATTATTCTGAGTTGAAATTTGTTTGGCATTCTGCGACAGTAGTAGGAAGCCAGATGTCACGTAGAAAGCAAGCAGGCTTTGCAGATCATGAAAAAGATTGTAGCAACAAAACTGGAAAGGAAGAGTCATGGATATGCTACCTGTGAAAAGACTGGCGTCTTCCTCAAGTTTTCTCCTATCTTGCGACTTCAGTGGTTATTTATAATGCAAGTTGTAACTTTGCGTCTATGTTGTGTGAAACATCGGTTGCGACTTATCCTTTGTACTTAAATAGTTAAATTTTTGACTTATTGAGTGTAGTAATTAATACCAGCAGCCTCGCCACAGCGCAAGCCTGCATGATGTGACTAATGAGTAATGAGCCTTTGCCACTATAGACAGCCATTCGAAAAAAGAAAGATCAATGAAAGATATGCTTTTAACGTGATATGGCAGACTTCATTATTCAATCTCTTCATGGCAACAAAAGATCAATTGTGTTCATAGTAAATATTAGAGTGGGGATGCTTGTCATTTGATCATACGTCATTTGAATTCTCCATAGAACATGAGTTACATGAAGCATTAATTTATTGAAACAGCAACATGTCCTGTATTCTCAATGTTGTGTGCACAACTAAGTTCCTTTCACCCAAAGATTACGTATTTTACAAATTGCATCGACCAAAGGTGCATCACTGAAGTATCATTGTGTATTTATAATAAATGGTTTTGAACCGGGAGTATCGTTACATGTTTGCAGATGTAGGTCGTCTAGGTTAGCATAGTCCTGAAAAAGACTGTTTTGTTGTTGTCAACTGACGTTTCGACAACTAGCGGTAGTCAAATCTTCAGAGTCAAATGAAAGTAAACGTCAGGTTAATATTTGTCAGGTTAAGCCGTATTAGAACCAAAAGATATAAATGACGGGTAAAGGCTGCGTTTACTCCTCATTTTGACTCTGGGGTGACAGCTACCACTAAATTGCTCAACGTCCATCAACAACAACCATGATTTCTCAAACTAAACGCCTGGTTGATCTACAATAAACTAAAACGTATCGTCGATTATAAGTTGTTCGCTCTGTCGTCAAATGATCATAACAAAGTAAATGGTTTGAACCCAGGGTATCGTTACATGTTTGTAGAAGAAGATCATTATGTTTAATTCACAGTTTCAAATATATCTGGACTGTTGATGATGAAGAAGAACAACAGGAGGAGAGTTAGGAATCTATATATGGGGCTTTAAAAGTACAGTTAAAAATGTGTTTGGAAAATTTATTCAAAAGTTGTTTGCAAGAACTGAAATATTACATTGAATTATTTGAATATGTTAATAACACCATGGAAACAACGTCCAGGTGATGGTGCTGACATGTTTAAGCTAGCGCGTTAAAAGTACTCAAACACAAAATGTGTATGCGATGTAAAATCAACTATGAACATAAAACATTCTACGAGAAAGTTTCCAAGGCTTAAGACTACTTTGTTCTTTCTAAGTGCAAAAACTTCTAGTTACACAGGTAATCTCGTTGAAAAAGAGTTTATGCAAAGGATTAATCAGGAGTTTGAATAATAATAAGAATTAAATCGTATGAATGTTTTTATGCAGTGCGGTGTTTGAAATTAGAAGATATGATCTTCGCACTTTGCTTGGACAATTTAAAATCGTCTCAGGACCTGAAAATCAGGTGACTCAGCAGTTCGAACCCATGACCTCTGCGGTGCCTGTACGGTGCTCGACCAACCTGAGCTATAAAGTCACAGTGGTAGCAAGGTCAATATTGTTGGGCTCATGTTTTCTCGTGAAAGGAATGTCATATAAGATGTTTTATGCAGTGCGATTATTTGAAATATGACCTGCTCACCACTGTGTGACTTCATAGCTCCAGTTGGTCAGAGACTGCACCGGCACCGCAGAGGTCATGGGTTCGAATCCCGTTGAATCACCTGATTTTCAGGTCTGAGACGATTGCTTAAATTGTACAGCAAAGTGCGAAGATCATATCTCGATAATTCAAACACCAATATTCAGCTGATTCATACGACATTCATTCACGAGAAAACTTATGGCCCAACAATATTGACCTGCTCACCACTGTGTGACTTCAGCTCAGTTAGTCAGAGCACTGCATCTTGGCACCGCAGGGTCATGGTTCGAATCCCGTTGAATCACCTGATTTTCAGTCCTGAGACGGTGCTTAAATTGTCCGGCAAAGTGAATCATATCTTCATTTAGAATTAAATCATTGAAATTATAATCGGTGATGCATACAGTGTGTAGAAACTACTCAAGTTTTGTCCCTCCTCTGTAGGAATGGCTAATTTGAAAAGAATATAAGTGATGCAAAGGATTTTTGATATAGATGCAGTGCCTATTCCCTGTAAAACCTTGAAGTTGAAGAGTTATGAGTTAATGCGTCTGAATATAATGTAGCTTCAAGACCTTTTAGAATTAGCCCATTTTTACGTTGGTAAGGCTTCATTCGATTTATCACAGTTCTACGTCACTTCTACTCACTAGGAAGTAATATCTACATCACCATATATATCCTTCAGAAAATGTATAACCTCTCCTGACAACATGGATCTTTGTTCAACTTCATTTAATCAAGATTTTAGCAACTTTGGACTGGGACAGTCATTAACTTCTTCACTACGATGATTTACACTAGCTATAAACACAGACAAAACATGTAGGTAATCGGGGTTCACGAGGGTTATTAAAGGTACAAATAGTCAATCGCGCACATTTCTACCGAAGGTCCTTTAAAGTAGTATGTATTATGTTAAATGTTTAAGGTGTTACATTCAACCCAGTGTATTCGTGTGCCCTCATCTTAGCGTGCTAAATGATCTATCACCTAGAGATACAATATGTTCCCTCGCCTAAGTGTTCTAAATGTCTCTCATATTGTATTGTGATCAGCTTTCACTGCAATCGGAGTTCTCTTTCAGACTTTGAAATGTTCTCTTACTGTAATGCATTAAATGCTCCTTGCTACAATATACTAAACGATTCTTCATCTCAGTGTTATCATTGTTTCATCATAGTTTTATAGTTCATATCACTGTTGACACCTAAAGCATTCTGTAGCAATTTGGTGAGAACAGAGTCACTATAATCTCACTATAATAGTTACATCGGCAAAGGCAGACATAACATTCTTAAGAAATGATAAGCCTTTGTTCATATAAATAGATATGATTATCTGCAATCTAAACCTAGAAATTTTAACACGCAAGAATTTATTTTGTGTATACCTTGATTTGATAAATATCAGATAGCAAATTAAATGCAATTACCACTCGCTATATGATAACAAGGTAGCCTATGAACGTATGATACAGAACGATACGCGTATGATGCAAGAACGATACGCATATAATGCGAGAATGATACATGTATGATACAAAAGGATACGCGTATCATGAGGAAGGCGATAAGCATATGATGCGAGAATCATACGCGTATAATATGAGGAATGATGCATGTATGATGCAAGAACGATACGCGTATACGAGAACGATACGCGTATGATACGAAAACGATGCGCGTATGATACGGAACGATGCGCGTATGATGCAGGAACGATGCGCGTATGATACGAGAACGATACGTGTATGATGCAAGGAACGATATGCGTATGATGCAGGAACGATGCGGCGTATGATGCAGGAACGATACGCGTATGATACAGGAATGATACGTATGATGCAGGAGCGATACGCGTATGATACAGGAGCGATAGGCGTATGATACGGAACGATGCGTATGATGCAGGAACGATGCGCGTATGATGCAGAACGATACGCGTATGATACGGGAACGATGCGTATGATACGGAGTGATACGCGTATGATACAGGAATGATACGTATGATACAGGCGATACGCGTATGATACGGGAGCGATGGCGTATGATGCAGGAACGATATGCGTATGATACGAGGAACGATACGCGTATGATGCAGGAACGATGCGCGTATGATGCAGGAACGATGCGCGGCGTATGATGCAGGAGCGATGCGCGTATGATACGAGATGATACGCGTATGATGCAGGAACGATGCGCGTATGATGCGATAACGATACGTATGATACAGGGAATGATGCACGTATGCAGGGAGACGATACGCGTATGCATGATACGATGCGTGTATGATGCAGGAATGATACGCGTATGATGCAGGAACGATGCCATGATGCGGAATTGATGCGCTGATGCAAGGAACGATACGCGTATGATCAAGGAACGATACGCGTATGATACGAGACGATGCGTATGATACGGGAACGATGCGCGTATGATGCAAGAACGATACGCGTATGATACGAGATGATGCACACGTATGATGATGCGAGGAACGATGCGCGTATGATGCGAGAACGATACGTATGATGCGAGGATGATACGTATGATACGAACGATACGGTGTATGATACGAGAACGATACGCGTATGATGCGGAATGATACGCGTATGATGCAGGAACGATGCACGTATGATGAGGCGATACGCGTATGATGCGGAGATAATGCGTATGATGCAGGGAACGATACGTATGATACGAGGAGCGATACGTATGATGCAGATGATGCGCGTATGATGCAGGAACGATGCGCGTATGATGCGACAGCGATACGTATGATACGAGGAATGCACGTATGATGCGGAACGATACGTATGATACGAAGGCGATGCGCGTATGATGCAGGAACGATGCGCGTATGATACGAGGAACGATACGCGTATGATGCGAGGAACGAATACGCGTATGATACGGAACGTGCACGTGATGCAAGGCGATACGCGTATGATTACAAGAATGATTGCGCGTATGAATACGAAGACGATGCGCGTATGATACGACAACGATACACGTATGATACGAGAATGATACACGTATGATGCGGAACGATACGCGTATGATACGGGAGCTACGCGTATGATGCAGAACGATGCAGCGTATGATGCAGAACGATACGCGTATGATACGGGAACGATGATGCGCGTATGATTAAGGACGATGCAGTATGATGCAGGAGCGATACGCGTATGATGCACGGGAGCGATACGTGTAGGATAAGACGATACGCGTATGATGGAACGATACGCGTATGATACCCAGGAGCGATGGGCGTATGATGCGGGAATGATGCGCGGTATGATACAGGAACGATACCCGTATGATACAGAATGATACGCGTATGATACGGAGCGATACGCGTATGATACAGAACGTATGCGTATGATAAGAGAACGATACGCGTATGATGCAGGAACGATACGCGTATGATAAGAGAATGATACGCGTATGATAAAGGAATGATGCGCGTATGATACGAGAATGATACGCGTGATACGGGAACGATACGCGTATGATGCAGAACGATGCGCGTACGAAGTGATGCGCGTGATGCAGGCGAATACTTGCGTATGATGCAAGAGCGATACGTATGTGATGCGAGAATGATACGTATGATGCGGAACGATGCACGTATGATGCAGGAGCGATACGTATGATACAGGAATGATGCGCGTATGATGCGGGCGATGCGTATGATACGACACGATGCACGTATGATGCGAAATGATGCACGTATGATGCGAGGAACGATGCGTATGATACGAGGCGACCGGCATGATGCGGAACGATACGCGTATGATGCAGATGCGATACGCGTATGATGCGAAGATGATACAGGAACGATACGCGTATGATACAGGAATGATGCGTATGATGCAGGAACGATACACGTATGATGCAGGGAGCGATACGCGTATGATACAGGGAACGATACGCGTATGATACGGGGCGATACGCGTAGAACGATGCGCGTATGAGCAAGAACGATACGCGTATGATACAGAAGGCGATACGTATGATGCGAGAACGATACGTGTAGGATAAGAGACGACCGCGTATGATACAAGAACGATACGCGTATGATACGGGAGCGATAGGCGTATGATACGGAATGATACGTATGATACGAGGCGATACCCGTATGATGCAAGGAGATGATGCGCTGCGTAGCGTTGAAGGCGATACGCGTGGAAACATATGGTAACAAACCTGTTTCGCTTTACGTATCGTAACGTTTCGTAACAAAACGTAACATGGCGATGCGTGCTTGTAAATTTGATGGTCATTATTCACAAGCACGCGTCGCCTTGATAACCTACCGATTTTGCTTGATGATACGTATTTGAGTGGAAAAACAAACTTATGATAGGAGATGATACGCGTATGATAAAGACGATACGCGTATGCCAGAAGTGACCATTGCGAATGATACGCGTATGATACGAGAATGATACGCGTATGATACAAGAACGATACGCGTATCTTACGCAAAACTTTAACAATGCGCGAGCGGTGCTGTAGATATGATTATCTACTGTCTTAATCTTAAATATGCTAAGTAAAATTTACTTTGTTTTACCTTGAGTTGACAAATATCGAAACGTCGCTAATGAGCTGTTGGCATAACGAAAATCAATATAATCAGACGCTTTCCATCCAAATTTGTCGTTGATCTCATTCTTTAAAGAATCTTCATCATTTTTTCTCTGCTTTACTACAGTCACATATAAACGTGGTTCTGGGTTGACTGTTATCCCGCAATATCCATTTATCCAAGAAAATCTACAAAACAATAATTCCTTATTTAGAACATACATCAAGTAGGAAAAGACATTTATTTTCGGTAAACTGTGTGATTTTTACTAAAATATAGCGTTGTATAACAATTGAAATTTCATATTCGCATGTTTTTAAAAGCAAAAAACTTGATAAAAAAAGTTCTTCAGAACAATTAAACACGCGTCAGTCATTGCTTTGAATCATAAAGTGCGGGAAATGGTTGAATTCATTCTATATTTTACAGAAAACGTTTGTCGTGCCCAATTACGTAGCTATACTTCACGACTTTTTAAATGTAAATACAACTTATAATTGAATGTATCTTATGCTTGGACAAGAAACCTTTGTAAACATTTTTAAAAATCATTTTCAAGTCTCGAGCGGATTTTTACTTACTGTTTTAATTTTTCAGTGACGTCTTTGCGAATACGGTAATAGTCGTCAAGAAATCCTGGTAAATTTGGGATCAAAATCATCTTTATCAGAATCTTCATCATCAGAATATATTTTGGACACATTGTTCTCACTCAACATTTCAGGAACATCTGAAAGACAAAATTGTTATTAAAACACAATTTATACACCTGTGATAACGTCTGTGATTGCTGCAGTAATCTGCGCCTGTAAAAACAAACTTACCTCAGAAAAAATTATATTTTGTACGTAAATATACTTATTTCTGTGATATTGGCCCAGTACCATATTTTTGCCATTATCATGCAAAAATCATGACTTAACATTTTAACCATTTTATTAAAAACTTATAAACTTAAACAAAGCAAGAAAATCACATTCTTCTTTATAACTTATTGTTACACTTAAAACCGATTTAAAACCGTTTTTACTAATTACATTACAAATTATCTTGAAGTAATTAAATGCACATATAACTCTGTGTACATATCTAACAGGCTGGTTGTAGCTACATGTCATTCTAACTGATTATGATTTGAAATAAAGCAAAATAAAACAATAGCAGTATTGTATCTTGTTCATTAGAACATATTTGTGCCAGATAATTACCGATAAAATAAAATATAAGAAATACCTTCTTTTCTCTTTATAACACCAGCTAAAGATGTGATGCATTCAGTGTTGGGAGCTTCACGTGACAGCATTTCTACAACTTATATTTTAAAAAGTGTCAGTAGGACAAGCTTCATAGAACAAGATGCCGGCTTAGGGCATGCACTTTGCTAAAGTGATTAAACCATTTCAGTATTTGTATGGCCTTATCCAAACATGGGGAAGCATGAATGTTTCAAAATTGAGCCAGGTGATTTTTACGCTTTTGTTATGATGAGCAACATTCCTAATTGGTCAATCAGACCATCTAAACAAATGAAACCATAAAAAAAAAAACAAGAGGATAGTGTTGCAATATTTATATAAATAAGGGGAAGTATGAAAGCTAATTTCACCCAAATAACATTGCTAAATTTTCCCAAACCCATAAATATGTAAAGTTTTGTCAACAACAAAGCCAAAATAATGGCAAAACTTCTTCCTCTAATACCTATATGTTGCATAATGTATCAAGCATTATCTTTTCTGCATATATATTTCAAATTGTTTCTAAAATAATGGCTTGTATCGTTTAATGATTACAGATTTAAATTTTGTCTCTCCTTGCAGTGGCCATATAGCAGAATAATGATACAGTGATGTTTGGCAGCTCGTCACTTAAAAGGGGAAACATTTTTTTCTTTGAAAATCAATATTCATTCATGATGACACTTGTTCTAAATATATACAAATGTAGTCTTCCTTTTATGGACATTAAAACCAGAGAAAAGAAATTGAAAAGCTAACCACAATAATAAAATGCAAGTCGACATGCTGTCCATGATCTTTCATCAAAGAGAATACCTCTTCATGGTGATCTGAGAAGTTGTGGATCTTACAAACATTTTTGCTTTAAGACTCAACATTTTAAAAATGTCTTTTTAACACTAAGTATGAATTGAAGTAAGTAAGTAGATACCAGTTTAAATTGTTTTATTGGTAGTATGAATTAAGGAATAGCTATGTAATATTGTTTGTATAAAAATATGTACTTATAGTATTAGTTATATGGTTTTTTATTAGTTAGAACCTTTGTAATTTAACCATAACTGTTACAAAAAAGAGTTCATATTTAATAAATACAAATACAAATTCAAATTCAAGTCCAATTATTGATGTCTATACCATCAAAGCTTTTGTTCACATGTTATTTAATGGTATGTTAAACAACTTAGCGTTTTTACCTTGGTAAATGTCCTTATTAATTAAAATTTGGAGGTATAAAATACAAATTTTACATGTTCAGCTAACCTAGAAGAGAAATAATCTACAATTCAAACATACAATTGAACATTCGCTAAAATGCTCAATGTCGATAACAAATGCTTAGAGTTCGTCTGTAGACATGACTACACTGATAAGAACTTCATTCTACATAAAATCGTTGATGTTTACTTGCAAAAAGTTTCAAACACAATTAGTAAAATATGGAAAGCATTTCCTCCAATTTGTTCCAAACCGAAAGCACAATTTGATACATCAAACTTCTACGTTAAATGAAAACATAGAAACTGAGCGACTTGCTGGAATTTCCAAAAGCAATAAAGGGAGAAGGATTTTTCATCCATTATAGCCAATACAGACTGTTTCATATGCAATTTCTCGCGAATTTCTGTGCGAATGTTTTGATCATTTATTTCAGTTTTTTATCCCTAATCGCAACAGAAATACAAAAGTAGGTTTTAGCATAACATAGATGAAAAGAAATGCAATTACATACCTGATTTCAAAACGAATAACCTCAACAAAATGTGAAATATTCCACACAAAATCGCTTAGCAATGGCACAGTGTAAGGAATTAATAGATTGAAATTATAATCGGTGACGTTACAGCCTGTTAATTATTAAATTCAACATTTTGTCCCCTGTTAGAATAATTTTAATGTTGTCTTTTTTGTCTTTATTTTGCTTAACATAAATATGAATACAAAACTTGGGATTGTTAATCTTCGCCTTCAACTGCCGTGTTTATCAAATGTCGACTAAGAATTTTAATATATTCTCTATCTTCAACTTGGAGCAATAAACGAATAATTTCGTCAAATTTTGGATTAATTTTGATATTGAATATGTAAGATATATGAAATGGCTCGTCATCCTAAAGATTATGAAAGTGGATATGAAGAGTCAAGATTTAAGAATGCTGTTGTTGAAACTTTTTACTGTTCAGTTTGCCTCAACGTCGTTAAGAATGCTAGAATGTGTCAACATAACGAACACATCTTTTGTCGTTATTGAATTAAACAACATCTACGAGTTAATGCACAAAGATGTCCTCAATGTCAAGATGATTTGACGGTTGCTACACTTCTTCCAGCAAGTCTTATAAATAACTTGATTTCTAAGTTAAAGATCAGTTGCAACTACGCAAATCGTGGTTGTCCTGAATTTATCAACGTTGAAGATCTTGAAAATTATGGCTTTGCTCCAGTGTTGTGTTCTAATGAACGTTGTGGTCTGGAGATAAACAAACGGAGACAAGATTAAACATGAAACTGAGTTATGTGAACACAGAAAGACTGCTGCTCATGACTTTGGTGAAATTTGAGAAATGTTTCAACTAAGTTTTGTTCATGTTGACAAAGTGAAAATGCAGATGAATGAAATAAATGGGAAAATGGATCAAAAGTTTATTGATGTGTGTAATGAAGGCATAGATAGCAGTTTGAAAATTATTCAATCGACAGCGTATGAAAAGCAAAGCACGTGTGCACATTGTACGTATGTTTTAAAATATTGTTTATGTCTTTTGTAGATCTGCTTCATTGCACTATTTTCTTTTATCTTTTGTTTTTACTTTGCTTTACATAAATATGTTAAAATATAAAACTAGGCGTTGTTATTTTTCGCTTTTAACTTCCGTGTTTGTCAAACGTCGACGGAGAATTTCAACGTATCTTCTAGCTTTAACTTGCAGCGATAAACAAATAATTTCGTTTACACTTGGATTAATTTTGATCCTGAATTATATGGGAAAACGTATGAAATGGCTTGTCGTCCTAATAATTACGATTCATATGGATATGATGACTCAAGATTTGAAAGCCCTGTCAACGATAATTTTTATTGTCCAATATGTCTCAATGTCATAAAAGATGCCAGAATGTGCCACAATGAACACATCTTTTGTCGTAAATGTATCGAAGAACATCTACGAGTTAATGCACAAAGATGTCCTCAATGTCAAGATGATTTGACTGTAGCTACACTTCTTCCAGCGCGTGTTATAAATAATATCATTTCAAAGTTAAAGATCAACTGCGACTTCGCTAGTCGTGGTTGTCCGAATTTATAAACGTTGAAGATCTTGAAAGACATGTTGAAAATTGTGGTTTTGCTCCAGTGTTGTGTTCTAATGAACGTTGTGACAAGGAGATAAACAAACGAGACAAGATTAAACATGAAACTGAGTTATGTGAATACAGAAAGATTCCTTCTCACGACTTTGAAGAGATTAGAGAAATGTTTCAACGAAATTTTTGATCATGTTGAAAAGTGAAAATGCAGATGGTTAAAATAAATGAAAAAATGGATCAAGATAGAACTGAAATAAATAAAAAAATTAATGATGTATCTTGTCAGGCTACAAAAGAAATAATGGAATTAAAGAAAGAAATGATGGAATCAAGGAAAGAAATAAAAGACGTTCAACAAAGCCTTTCTACAATGACCAAAGAAATGAAAGCCATGATGTTTCAAATGTTTGAAAATATGAATATAAGTGAACAACATGTTAAAACATTGACATCATCAATTGAAATGGTGATGAACTCAGTAAAAGGTGATATTTTGATTGCTGGAGGTTACCAAAACAAAGTGTTGAAATATTTTCATGGAAGGAGGAGAAATGGTTTGACATTGCATCAATGGAAAATATACACAGCTATCATCATTTATATATAATGATAATTTATTTGTTGTTGGAGGTAATGAATGCATCAATTGAGACATTGAATTTTAAACAGTTTCCTTTGACATGGAAACTTTCCTACAACTTATTATCATGTTGCCAGCACCAAACTGTTGTTTATAAACAACAAATCTTTCAAATTGGAGGATATAATTATACTAATTTTACAACATTGGATCAAATTAGTGTAATGCAGATTACTGGTAAAACATCTTATGTTTTCAAAGAGTTGTGTCATATGCCTGAACAACGATTTAACCATGGAGCTGTTGCTGTTGATGATAAAGTTCTTATTTTTGGAGGAAAGGGAAAAGATTGGAAAGTTTTGTCGAGTGTTTTGGAATTTAATCCAAGGACTCTTACATGTAAGGAAATGCCTCCATTACCTCATCCATTGACTGAAATGGCAACAGTTCAATGGAGAGATCAAGTTGTTCTTCTTGGAGGTTCCGATGGAAGAAAATATTTGAACAGTGTTATCATGTATGACTGTCATACAAGAAAGGTTACAGTCTTACCATCCATGTTGGAAAAGAGACACAGGTGTTGTGCAGTTATAACTGATGATACAATTATTGTCGTGGGAGGTCAGAATAATAAAAGTGGACGTCTTAAATCAGTAGAGTGTTTAAAAATGGGAAGTAGTTCTTCATGGACATATCTTCCTTCAATAAATGAATATCGACATGGAGCTATTGCTGAAGTTTTACCCTTTGGACAAAAGTATTTATAAGCACAGAATTATTCTCTAAATAATCAGAACATTATAACTCAGTAAAATTTGTTTATATTAAAGCTAAACACTACTTAAAATTGAATATGTAAACTTACAATGTTCATATAACCTTTGATTATTATAATAAATTACTGGAGAAATAAATGGTTTTAGTATTTTACTAATGACAGAGACAAAAAGAAAATTTATTGCTTTAGTATTTGTTCAGAATCTTCAAACTTACAACTGTGTATGAGTTTGACCAGTGGTGTTGTCGATCATAGAGATTATAAATAATACTAAAGGTGGCATCGTAATATAATCAGTGAATATAATCTATAGTCCAAAATACGGCACACATTTTTGGGGGGCAAAATCGATTCCCTGATGTTACGATACAGTGGCCAACTATGATTTTTTGACTTTTTTGTTTTTATTATACGGAAATACAATAGTTAATATTGTCACAATTGATTTCTTGAACTATTTTTTTCTTTTCATCGTAATTTTAGAGGATAACTAATAACGCTACGAAATTGGAGCTTCGAGTCAAAGATCTGGCTATTTAAAACAAATCGCCAAATTCTTTTTTCACGAATTTGCAACGTGTTTGCAATATTAAAAATTTGTTTGTCTAAATTCCATAGCGCTAAAAAATAAAAAAAATGTACCTTGTGAAACAAACATCATCTTTTTGCGTTGCTTCCGTCAAGCAATCGACTCCTCTTTTGGTTCACAGGTCTTCAACTCCTTTTTATTTTAACTTTTCATTTATTTTAAAACCAAGAAATGCAATGCAGCACTGCAGTATTCTGCTGTCTTAGAATTGATTATTTATATCTTAGCTATTGGTAAATAATTACTGCAAAATATGAGTCGATCTTTATCAGTGCTCACTCTTTCATATCGTTGCACATTATGCATGAATGATTTACGTCATATTACATTTAATTACAGATAAGCGTCCATGACGTACATGCAGCACATAGCTTTTAAAAGTTCTATCTTGTAACGTTTTACGTTTGTTATTCAAACAATGGCAAAGAGGCTGTATTCTGAGTTGTTATCTCAAGCGGAGAAGTCAAGTAGGGATATGCAAAACAATCCGAGATTATCTGACATATCTAAGGCAAAATCAATTTTGAGTTCGATTCCAAATTGGACACTGAGTTCATTTACGATTTGAATTTCAGTTCCGAGCTCGAATCTTTGGCTCGGTAAATATAATATATCGTAATTTTACAATATAATATATCGTAATTTTTAGCCAATTGCAGTTGAGAGTCTTTTTTAAAATAATGGCGTATGCACCAATGTGAGGCATCCAGCATGGAGACAGAAAAATTTTACAAACAAGTTAAAAAGTTAACGCATATTTTTCGGGATTTTTGTCTTTTTTTAAATTGGTAAGTATGGATTCATGAAGAAAAATTATCCTATTTTTTAGTGATATAATTATTATTTGGAATTCTTGTTTGTTTTTTACGTATTATTACTTTATGTAAAGGCATGTTTTCGTAACTGCGATGATAGTTGCCTACATTTGGTAAATATATAATATATATATAATCAATTATACAAAGTTTGCGGTTCACGGTTTCTTACGATGAAATGGGGAGAGTTATCGTTTGTTTAAACTATTTCAAGTGATTTTTGGGCCACCTATGTTGAGAGTTGCAAACCTTGTCAAAATATAAGACCTTTAAGACCATATATACGTGGAGGTCACGCGAGATAGCGCGCGTGACAAACATTGCACATGAATCATGAAATATATTTAGTACTATTTACATAAATTGATTGCATGAAAAAAATGAAAAACGCAAACAGATTTCTTTCTGGGCCACTTATGTCGAAACTCGAAAGCAGTTGGCAAAAGCATATTTGTTTACATTCATCCGGGACCTAAATTTTCCCCAGCTCCGCGTCTTCACGACCTTCGGTCTCGGGCTTGCACTGATCTGCTCTCGAGTTCTCCCAAAGGTCTCATCGGTTAGCATAAGCCTTTGCACACAAAGTAAACATCTTTTATTCCTTAAATGTCATGAGTGATCACTCAATTTTAGTATCTACTATATTGCGTTGTTTATGCCTCTTATCTATTCAGATTCCTGATATTTAAAATCAAACAGAAAGTTAAAGAAGTTCCGAAAGGTTCTACTTTATTGTGATTGTGCGCTCCCCCTCATTCCGTATAAATTCCCCGGAATTGTTAACACACAGAGAAAAAATTGAGATTTCACCAGTATATAGGTCGCGTGGGGAATGGGTCAGAGTGTTTTCCACGCATCAGGCAGCAACGAGGAAAAATTGTGTGTCATGATTTCACATTCAGCTCCGTCTTATAGAGTTGTATTAATTTGTCGATCGATCGTCTTCGATTGTTGCTGAATATGTTTCTCCTCAAAAATATCTTGCTGTGGCATGCTAGCTGCATTTTCAAAGCACAAATGCGTAAAAAACGACAATAAATCAATTTTTTTCAATTTTTTTCAACGTTTTTCCACAGCCAAGAAGCAAAGCAAACATCGGCCGCCGAAAAAAACACACATTACTTCAGGGGGGAGCTTGACAATAATTTAGATGTATTTTTGGCTTTAGCCAGTCATGGGACAAAACTATAGAAGTTATCGTTCCAGATGTATTTTAGTTAAAAGTCTCAATCACTGTGTCAAAGTGATATGAGTATTCCCATGTTTTGTGTATCCCAGTACTTAAATCATGAAGGTTTTAAGCGTCCGCAGCAATTATGGCTTCCGTGCTTTAACTATCCTTACCCGACCACCCAACGTTCACAAATCACTAGTGATAAAGGTTTCCCTATGTTTGTTCCGTTATTACGTTGGTTTCAGAGGTTTCCCTACAGTGGATTTTCCTTGACCTAGAAGGAACAACAATAGACTTTTTTCACGTCATACAACATTGAGTAAAACTGAGTAATATCCCGTACTTAAATCCACAAAACTTCTAGTGATTTAAGTAGGGAATAACCAAATCACGGGTTTACTAATATCACTGTCACAACGGTTACCTCAGTATGAGCCCGCGAGTTAGCCGTTTTATATGGCGGTATTCATTATTTTATCTGGTTTGCTGTTTCCGCTCTTTTGACGTTCCTAAAGAGAGAGAATAGGAACACTTACGGATGATTCGTGCATTTATTGAAAAGCACACATTATCCATTACTACTCACATTTTTTCCTTCCATTCTCAATTTCCTTGCAACTTCTAACCGCAACTTTCTTCAAAAAATGATTCCGAATTTGGATTCCGAAGAACCTTTTTAAAAAAGAAAGTTGATTAAGTGATTACATTTTAAAATATGTAATATGTATGGTTTAGTTCAGGGAGGACGATATAAGACAACAGCGCACTTCTTACCGTATTAAGGACACTATAACCAATACCAGTCTTGAACAATTCTGACAAAAAATTCACTCCATTTTCTACAGTTGCCGAGATTGTATCAACTTGCTTTCACCAGAGTATAGGTGCCATCGTTTGATATACGGGTCTTATTGCTTTTGTGTACTTTCTCTCCAAGACTGCAGGACCAATTTGGCAGCCCGGCCTGAAAGTCCACGGTCATGGAGAATCATCCCGAGATTAGACATAGAAGTAGAACCAGCTTTGGTTATAGTGGATGAACCAAGCTTGGTTGGCTGGGTTGAGTCAAAACGCTTTGCCAGTGGCAGCTGAATTGGCTCCTGGATAACATTCTCATCACTTTGGGCAGCCAAGACTGAGTCGGCCAGTTCGGAATCACAAGCAGTCCTGTTGCCTTGTCTTTTGAATTTTTTATAAACTTTTGGAAAGATACTAAAACGTGGAAATGCATAAAATGAATACTTTGACCATGATATATCGAATTCATTGGCATAAGCTTTCGGATCTGGTTTAAAAGCCACAAAGGACTTAAATTTATAGTTGAGGCAAATAGATCAATATCACGTGTAAACTGAGCACACTGTATTGTCTGTGACAGGATAGCAGACTCAAGGGCCCACTCACTGGAGCCTGAGGCCCTACGCGACCCTTTATCAGCAAGTGTATTTGTTATCCCGGGAAAATGCAAAGCGGAAAGCCATACCTTATTATTTACACACCAATCCCATACTGGTGGACAATATCACGTTTAGCAAATAGAATGTTGATTTCCAAATTGATAAGAATTCTATCATTGCAGGTAAATAATTGCTCTCTAGGCGATTTTGTTTGCACAGGGGGTGAGGAGATATCTATATGTGCTTCTGACACCATGTCTAAAATAAATTCATCTTAGGTTAGCAATTTCCATTTCTCCACATACGAAGCCAGTCTACCGGCCTTAAATTCAGTAACTTTAAGTCGGAAAAATTTAAAAGAGCAGGTATAAAGGAGGCAAAATCAAGTACCTGTAATGTACTTAAGGTTATGACCAAATCTTGTGTACTCAAGGTTTTGTATTTTTCCATTGTTTCTTGAATTGGACTTCATAGCCTGCTCCATGGGGAACGCAGGGGCGGATCTAGGATTTTCAAACGTCAGTCCTAAACCGGCGAACGCCGGAGCGTTTGCCCGTAAAGGGTCGAGGCATCCCCTGGAAAATATTGAAGCCTAGGGTCCCAGAAATGCTATTTCCAGCGTTTTGGAATAGCTTTACAACAAATTTTCAAAGTGAATGAAATCGCAGTTTTTCATTTTTTCTTACAAAATATTGAGGACAAACACGCTAAGACCGTTTCGCCCAATGTCAGGGCTCTTCAGCATGCCTAGAAACACATAGTGCAAAGCAACAATGTGATTCCAGACATGGACAGTCTTTGATTTATCAGCAACGGCGCATTAAGCAGCCAGTTGCACTGTCTTATTTCTGCAGCAACGGCGCATTAAGCAGCCAGTTGCTGTCTTCTTATTTTGCGGCAACGGCGCATTAAGCAACCTGTTGTGCTGTCTTAAATTTTGCAGCAACGGCGCATTAAGCAGCCAGTTGTGCTGTAAGACATTTCTGCAGCAACGGCGCATTAAGCAGCCAGTTGTTCTGTAAGACATTTCTGCAGCAACGGCGCATTAAGCAGCCAGTTGCAAAGTCAGTAATATTTCTACAGTAACGTAGCCATTACATTAAGCAAATTTCAAACGTGTATTACCTTCAGCAAACTTATTGATCACTCTTTCTATGTCAGGAATAATTTCTGGGTGAATTCGCATTAAAGCCAGGCCATTTAAACGTTCCTCTACCATAGTGCTCCTTTCGTAGGTTTTAGATTCCTCAGTGCTGAAATTGATCTCTCACATTCACATGAGTGATTGGTAGTGTACCTAAAATGCGAAGAATAACTTTAATATTTTCAAATCCTGGAAATGTTACATGCTTCAGTGTTTTGACGATGTTTTCTGGCAAAGGCCATTGTGCGTTTCCCAGTATAAACGCCATTGCCTTAATTCAGCATCTAAACCAAGGGGTTGGGCAAGTCATCATGATAGAATTTTGCAACACTTTTAAACTGTTCTTTCCAATCAATTCCTTTGTCCGACAGAGTCATCATTTTGACGGAACGATAGATAATCCTCGGTACACATTAACACTATCCAAGTTAAACCTAGTTCTCAAAGATGTTTGAAGATGGTCTAATAAAGGAATAGTGATGGTTAGTTTATAATGTTCTTTGAATGATTGACTGGGGGGATTAGATCGCATAGTTTGTCTTCCAGCAATTCGCTTTTTTGTTTCTTGAACGTTGACCTCTTCAGCAAGTTTTAAAGCCTCTTCATACCAAGTGTTATGATAAAAATTAATGCTTTTCCTCATGTTGGCTACATCATTCTTCAAAGTGGTTATCAAATGAAAACCATCCATAACATCAATAGTTTTTCCCTGCAACAACTGCGTGACTGGAAGAGTAGTATCAAGAATATTTCTTGTAATAACTAGCGCAACAATAAAATGAAATTGAGTAACTAATGAAAGTAACTGGGAAGCATCAGCAGCAAGGGAAGGATTCACCTGCGCTTACATTGTTTATCATGTCCTGAAGAGTGTCGATTAAAGGGATAAACAACTGTTGAAACGTGTCAAGACTGTCAACTCGCTCAACCCATCTGGTTTTACAAAGACTTACCAGTTTTGCCTTCTTGGTCTGAACATCTGACTTTTTAACGTGCTCAGCAAAGGGTATGTTGCGTGTCTGTGATATGTTGATAAAATTGGCAGCTTGAGAAACAACAGATAACATGTTATTAATTTCAACGTTAGAAAGAGTGTCACAGACAGATAAATTTAGTCGATGACTGTAACAGTGAGTGTAAAGAGCTTTAGGATTAGTTCTTAAAATGTGGGCTGCTAAACCATTTATATGCCCAGAAACAGCCCCTGCACCATCATAACCTTGTCCCCTGCAATCCATAATGGGTAAGGCAAATTTCTCTAGAGTTTCTAAAATAAGCTTTGAAAGTTGTTGACCACTCAACCCCCATTTGCAATGCAGGAAACACATGAACTCTACTTTAACATTCATTGAAGAGTCAACAAACCGTAGAACAAGGGACAATTGCTCTTTGTGAGAAGAATCAGCAGCTTCATCTGCAATGATAGAATAATATCTATTTTTTTTTATCTTGTTTATAATATCTTCTGATATTACCTGACCAATACAGTTGATGATTTTGTTTTGGCTGGTCTTGGAAATATAACTTTTATTCTTGCCACATTTGAGCAAATGATTTTCCAAAGTTTGATCACCAGCTCTAACTCTAAAATTTAAAGATTCAACAAAATTACCAACATTGCCATTGACTGAATAGCAACCGACCTCTGGGTGAAATTGAGCATCGTCACGATGACCTCGTAATCCAATGCCAAGCCTTCCACAAAAAAAAACTGTATCAACAATTTGTATAAGAATTTTCCTATTTTGCTCAATTTCAAGTTTTATGTTAGTATCTAAGATATTTTCAATGGGTTGAGCTACACCTGACATTTGAGAGCATATATTATTCAAAATTGGAAAAGTAGATGCATGTAGTCCCATTTTTTTTCCAGCATGTCCTAAATGTACCTACAGCATCATTCCAATGACGAAAGGTGAACGAAATAGATTGTTTATTCTCGAGCATTTACTGGGGAATTGATGTCCAAAAGAACACATGATAAGCAATAAGCACCATCTTCTTTTGGTGAATAACACAGCCAGGTAAAATCTTTGAGCCATTCATATTTAAAAGACCTTTTATTGTTCTCACTCAAAGGAGGAAAAGTGTAATTTTCATCAGGTTTAAAAACATTTTTAATAAGCAAACAAATATCAGACATTTGAATGGTCAAACCTTTAGCTCTTTTGTAGTAGGTAGCTACATCAAAATTGTGAATAAAGTTAGGCTTTACCTGTAAATCTTCAATGGTTTGTTCAGTAACCCTAGTACAAGAAACCTCACTTGTAATGATTTCTGGTTTTCCATTTTGAAAAAACTTACTGATATTCCCAGACTTTTTTCAGCTTTGCTTTTTGAAGGCACTGGGCATGTTGGACCAGAAATTGTCCTTTTAGTTTTGCTAGGAAAAAAAACTAGAGGAACAAAATGATTAGGTTGGAAACATTGATCTGGTTTAACTATCCTTTATAACAAAACAAAAGATGAATTGCATCGGCTGATTCTTTAACTATTCTTCTTGGACAAACAAGAGAGTTGAATATTGATTTCTCTCTCCACAATCTGGGTAGTAAGTAAAAATTTTTGTCTCCAACACAGAAGAAAGAGCTAAAATGCATAGAAACGATGACCAATTTTGGTCATGACAATTCAAAAAGGCCTCCTTTTTGACAAGATCAACACCTACAAAACCAGAATCTAGACAGTCTTGAGATACTGTCAAAGGTAAAATATTCTTTGAGGTGTTGTTGAATTCTTTATGCTGTTCAACAATTGAGGAAAATAAAGGATGTTGGCAGTAAAAAGTAGCATTCAAACACAGCTCAAGTGATGTTAACTGCCTCAAAATATGCAATAAACTGTTATCACCTGCCAAAAGCAATGACACTGAACTGTAGAGACAGTTGCCAGATACTTCTGATCTAAATTGAATAAAAAAGTCGTGTTCCTATAAGTCCTCCAACAAAATTTAACTAACTGGCCAGGAAATATCTAACATAGCAACGTAGTTACATGTAGAAGATAATTCAAAGTTCAAATATAAATTCACTATTCGCTGAATTTATGCCAATATTATAATAAAATTAAAGCCCAAGCCGTAGATCTTTAGTATACACTGCACAAAATGAAATCTGCTTCATTAAAATTTATACAACAGTCAATAGACATAAACCACATCTCATAGTCGCATAAATTGATATTAATGGTTTGGATACCTTAAAGCCATGCATACATTTCCTTTGTCCTCGTGTTGCTTACGCACGATTTTGGGGATGTAAATTTCTGCTGAGAACTCTCTGCTCAATGATGTTTCGTCTTTCAAAAGCAATGATAAGAATTCCTCTCTCGACATTTTAGTCGCCCCACAATATTCCTCATTCAAACGCAATTTCAATTCATTCAGAGATTTATCATTCTCTTGCGAAATTGCAGTCTGAACAGTAGCATACATATTAATATTTAACATTGTAGTTTGTAAACGATTTTCCAAATAAATGCAATGAAACAGATTTTGCAAACCACGCTATAGTGAATCACAACGTGATGATCTATCTCGCATTCCAGACACCACGCTTGACTATGTTAGCTCAGAGGGCTATCAGTCGAAATTGGTCAAACCAATCACAATAAAACAAAAATTCAAATGAGCCAATTGTAAGATAGCAATTGGACTCCCTTATAGGTCCGGCCACCCCTATTATCGGTCGAGATTATTCCAGACTGTCCACTGATCTGGACATTGACCAATAAAATAGCGTTTCTGGCGTTCATAGACTCCTTTATATGTCGAACCAGTCAAGCCACCCCGCTTATCAGTCGGTTATTCCAGGTCAATTAAAATTCAACTGATCTGGTTACCAAGGAGATATTCATTGGATTAGTCATTAGTTTTCAATAATAAATAAAGCTGGATTTTCATCATGAAGTAAATGCGATATTAAAGTAAGAATAATTAATGAATTTTTAATTACTATGAATAGGTAATTTTTGAATTTCAAACATCAGTCGCGCGACGGATTTGACATACTCTAGATCCGCCCCTGGGGGAACGGTCCGGCCTCCCACGTCTTTTCCCCCAAAAAAGAACTTTGGTCATTTTGGGATAGATGTTTCCAAGACTCTTTGCTTTCAATAGGCTCTCCTGAAGACCGTGAGTGATGAGGCCATTGCTTTTCCAATCTTATTCGATGCTTTGATGTTGTTAATTTGAGCCTGGAACTCTTCCCCAAATAGAAACTCAGTGATTGGTCCCTGTGGTGAGCAAATAGATGCGAATTCCTTATTTAAACAAAGTTTTACAGCTTGTCTCCGATGCATAGACAATTGATGGGTAGCATGACCAAGCAATGCCAGAGCATCAGTATTTATAGTTAGCAGTTTACCTGTATTCATATCAGCTGCACCCGAATTGGGTTTGAGCAACAACTCAGCTGAATGTGCAAAGGTTGTGCTTGCTTGTGGATCGCGCGCACTCTCACGTGACTCCTTAGCGAGCAATAACCAATGATGAAGTAGAATCCAGTGGGGACTCGATTATCACCCCTCTTGATACAACACTTTAAAATTTAATACAATAATACAAATGTTATGGTCATCAGGTCATATATAGATTGCTGTGTTGTAGAGACATTTGAGAAAGCAGGCATTGACTCAAAATTTGTAATGTCAAATAGATAACAGACGCTTTCTGAGCTCGTAAAATTGAATTTGTATTAGATTCTCTCGGTGTTTCGGAGCGAATTTGATGACGATTGTCTTTGTCTTCTAAATCGAATTCCCGACTGTTCAATTCAATATTTTCCGCTGTTGTTGCTGTACTTGACTCAGAATCGGATGTCGACATGTTTCGTACAACTTTTATATTAATTTCAAAGCAATATATAAAGAAATGTTATTTCACACTATGTTGTTTTGTATGCAGCGCATTCAAGTTTCCTTAAATGACGTCACAAACCTCTCGTCTTAAGTCCCCTCAGAGGCGCGGAAATTTCTCAAAAGCAAGCTAATTCAAACCGCAAAAAAAACTTTGTTTTTATTTTTTTACGAAATTTTCTTCGAAATCATATTTTCCACAGTCTAAACTTGAAAAGTTCATCGAATTTGGAAAGGCTGTATGTGCACTTTAAGTTTATACTCCGAAAAATTTCCCCTTAAAGCCAATGAAGATGTCGTGATGAGCAAATCCGGTATGGTGTAAAGGTCTTCTTTAGTGCATAGTTATAAAATACCTTACATAATAACTTTTTTCCATTACCTTTAGTATGTCTCCCTCTGGTCAAGTGAATGAACTATTCCACTTCACAACAAACATCAATCTGTCAAAGTTGGTTTCTGTCGAAGTTTTTGTCGGTGCTCAAGCAGTAAATAATATGAGGAAAATGAGGTCAAACTATTTTACAAATCTTCAACTGAATTATGTGATAAGTGATCAAGTATTGGCGTTGATGGATTCTTCAAACTGGTACAAAAAAGCTTTAAATTAAGCTTTTCGGCAATATTGAAAAAACATCATAACTCCTGGAGAGCCATTGTAATGTGTGGACTTCGAAAATGCTTTGATTGTCAAATATGTAAAAAGTTCGATGTCATATTAAAGTTTATAAATTTTGTGTTCAGGTTATGACAAGAAAATTAAGGTTTATGTTATTCAAAGACCATTTTTAAGAATTTTCGTTTCCATCATGCTTACATTGCGTGCGAAGACTGGGCTTCACTGGCATAAAAATGTCCACAAACGTAGACTTTCAATTTTTTGGTTCACTGGCACAGTACAGGAAATATAAAGTAGGTCCAGTTCGCTGTGCAACTGCCTGTTTATTTAATTAGATTAATGGCTGTCCTTAGTCATTTCTTAATTCCTGTTGTGTGATTATGGTAATCACATGCGTAATAATATATGCGCGACACGAAAAAATTCAATGGAATGGCTGTACTGTATATTTAGTATACTTTTTCAATGGTTTAACATAATAAAAGGCCTGAGATCTATTGGCCAAATTTGATTTTTTTACCCTACTAAAAAAACACGTATCTTCTTCGGTTCGCTACATATCACTCATGTTTCTTTTCTACATAAAGCTACTTTTTTATCATTTCCTGGGTTCTACTTGGTAGTTACTATATGATACCAAATTATAATTTATATAAATCCGTTTGTATAATTGTACTTTGGTTATCTCTTTTTAAAATATGCAATTTACAAATAATACAATTTTATCTTAGTAATACCGTTGAACTAAAATACATGCAACGCTGCCAGCAGCAAGAAATATTTGTCGTTAACAATGTGTGAAACACTGTTAACGATAAATATTTGTTCACTCAAGGAAGAACACACAAAACCAAGAAAGAAAAACACGTAAACGATTAAACATGCTCGCTAAAAAAAACAAGCAAAATTGTAAGTAAAAGATTTTTTGCGAAGACATTGAACATTTGTTTGGCTGATAGTATAACAAGAAAAACACATCAAACATATAAATGCTTTTGTAGTTTCGTATTTTAATAAAAACTATACCCCCGAAACACCTTCTTTTTTGTTTTTCATTCTTTTTTTAATCAAAACCGGTTGCTTTGTAATTTTCTCTACAAAAAAGCAGCAGTTAAAACAATTCACTCGCCGAGACAGAATCGTCTGGGATAAAATCTCGTGTGTTTGGATGTAAAATTTAACTTCGTTTGGTTATTAGGATTATCTACTACAGCTAGTGTTTCATGTATCATAGTTCAACGAGTAAAACGCAGGTATGTTATCTAAAATATTAATAATATCGTGAACAGGTTTGGTTCAGTCCCATTAAGATTTAAACTCTCGTAAAGCAGATGTGCATTCAGTACCGACCTCGAGTAACATGACTTTACTCGCGAGTATCGAATGGCGAGTGGGCGAGTGACTCGCGAGTCAATTGCGAGTCACTCAAGAGGGACGAGTTGCGATTGAGCGAGTCACTCGCGATGCAGTTGCGAGTCCCTCTCGAGTGTGAGAAGTTTGCGAGTGAATAAGTGACTCGATGTTTGCGAGTGGATAAAATAACTCGCAAAAATTTCTTTCTCCAGTATTTGAAATCGACAAACATAATCTTAAATGTAGTGACAAGTAAAATTCGTTCAACATTTTGAAGGCAACGGTTTTATATCTTTTTATGAAACATGGGAGCAAAACGACTATTCATTTGAAGCAATAATCGGGACCTAATGACGTTAAAATCTTGTGAATTTTTTTACAAAAGTATTTTAATAACTTCACATTTTTCATGGCACAAAGGCACAAACGTTATTCGTAAAGCGGTAGAGACCATAGAGAAATGTAAAGTAAACGGCACGCAATCAATGAGTAAATCTAAATAGCGCTCAATTATTTTCTTCTAAAAGTCTTAGATTATGGACACATATAATCTTAGGAAAGAATGCATTAAAAAACGAATATTCTTTAAAGCCAAATATTTAAGGAATGTAGCTATGCGACAAGGGTACGTATAATCTTTTTAATTCGATTCTGAAAGAACTTCGTTGACCTGGAGTTTTGGATGTAGTCGCTATTGATATAAAGGCCTTCCTATACACATGGTTTTCCTATACCCGTGGTTTCATATCGTTCTTGCTATTAAATGTTTATGGCCTTTGTCATTAGGTCCCGAGGTATTGCTTCAAATGAATAGTCGTTTTGCTCCGATGTTTCATAAAAAGATATAAAACCGTTGCCTTCAAAATGTTGAACGAATTTTACTTGTCACTACACTTAAGAACCTGGAGAAAGAAATTTTTCCGAGTTATTTTATTCAGTCGCAAACAGCGGGTCACTTATTCACTTGCAAACTCTCACACTCGCTCAATCACAACTCGTCACTCTCGAGTGACTCGCCCACTCGCCATTCGATACTCGCGAGTCAAGTCATGTTACTCGAGGTCGGTACTGTAGATTCTTAATGATTCTTTCTGCAAACCATTGTCACTGTACCAAAGTAACCTTCATAACCTACATTCATAGGATTATGACATTTACTTTGTTTTACCTTGATTTGACAAATATCGAAACGTCGGTAATGAGCTGTTGGCATAACGAAAATCAATATAATCAGACGCTTTCCAACCAAATTTGTCGTTGATCTCATTCTTCAAAGAATCTTCATCATTTTTTCTCTCCTTTACTACAGTCACATACAAACGTGGTTCTGGGTTGAATGTTATCCCGCAATATCCATTTATCCAAGAAAATCTACAAAACAATAATTCCTTATTTAGAACATACATCAAGTAGGAAAAGACATTTATTTTCGGTAAACTGTGTGATTTTTACTAAAATATAGCGTTGTATAACAATTGAAATTTCATATTTGCATGTTTTTAAAAGCAAAAAACTTAATAAAAAAACGTTTTTCAGAACAATTAAACACGTGTCAGTCACTGCTTTGAATCATAAGTGCGAGAAATGGTTGAATTCATTCTATATTTTACAGAAAACGTTTGTCGTGCCTAATTACGTAGCTATACTTCACGACTTTCTAAATGTAAATACAACTTATAATTGAATGTATCTTATGCTTGCACAAGAAACCTTTGCAAGCATTTTTAAAAATTATTTACAAGTCTCAAGTGGATTTTTACTTACTGTTTTAATTTTTCAGTGACGTCTTTGCGAATACGGTAAAAGTCGTCAAGAAATCCTCCGGTGAAATTGTGATCAAAATCATCTTCATCAGAATCTTCATCATCAGAATATATTTTGGACACATCGTTCTCACTCAACATTTCAGGAGCATCTGAAAGACAAAATTGTAATTAAAACACAATTGTAATTAAAAAACGTAAATATACTTATTTCTGTGATATTGGCCCAGTACCATATTTTTGCAATTATCATGCAAAAACGATGACTTTACAATTTTTAACCATGTTATTAAAAAACTTAAAAACTTAAACAAAGCAAGAAAATCACACTCTTTTTTTAACTTAAAGTTACATTTAAAACCGATTTTTTACTAATTACATTACAAATTATCTTGAAGTAATTAAATGCACCTGTAACTCTGTGTACATATCTAACAGGATGGTTGTAGCTACATGTCATTCTAACTGATTATGATTTGAAATAAAGCAAAATAAAACAATAGCAGTATTGTATCTTCTTCATAAGAACATATTCGTGCCAGATAATAACAGATAAAATAAAATATAAGAAATACCTTCTTTTGTCTTTATAACACCAGCTAAAGATGTGATGCATTCAGCATCAGGAGCTTCACATGGCAGCATTTCTACAATTTATATTTTAAAAAGTGTCAGTAAGACAAGCTTCATAGAAGAAGATCCCGGCTTACGGTGTACACTTTGCTCAAATGACTAAACAATTTCAGTATTTTTATGGCCTTATCCAAACATGGGGGAGCATGAATGTTTCAAAATTGAGCCAGGTGATTTTTACGCTTTTGTTATGATGAGCAACATTCCTAATGGGTCAATCAGACCATCTAAACAAATGAAAACCATTTAGTTGTAGTTTTATAAAATAAAAAAAACAAAGGATAGTGTTGCAAGTATTATATAAATAAGGGAAAGTATGAAAGCTAAATTCACCCAAATAACATTGCTAAATTTTCCTAAATACATAAATATGAGTCAAAATATTGGCAAAACTTCTTACTCTAATACCTATATGTTGCTTAATGTATCAAACATAATCTTCTGTGCATATATATTTTGTATTGTTTCTAAAATGATGGCTTGTATCGTTGAATGATTACAGATTTACATTTTGTTTCTCATTGCAGTGGCCATATAGCAAAATAATGATTCAGTGATGTTTGGCAGCTCGTCACTTAAAAGGGGCAAACATTTTATTGCTTTAAAAATAAATATTTACCCATGATGATAATTGTTCTAAATATACACAAATGTAGTCTTCCTTTTATGTACATTAAAACCAGTGATAGCAAATTGAAAAGCTAGGCCTAATAAATAATGCAAGTCTATGTGCTGTCCATGATCTTTCATTAAAGAGAATACCTCTTCATGGTGATCTGAGAAGTTGTGGATCTTACAAACATTCTTGCTTTAAGACTGAACGTTTTAAAAATGCATTTTAACACTAAGTATGAATTGAAGTAAGTAAGTAGATACCAGTTTAAATTGTTTTATTGGTAGTATGAATAAAGGAATACCTAGGTATTATTGTTTATATAAAAATATGTACCTATAGTATTAGTTATATGGTTTTTTATTAGTTAGAACCTTTGTAATTTAACCATAACTGTTACAAAAAGAGTTCACGTTTGCTGGAACTTCCAAAAGCAATAAAAAGGAAAGGATTCTTCATCCAATATAACCAATAGAAACTGTTTCATGTGCAATTTCTCGCAAATTTCTGTGCGAATGTTTTGATCATTTATTTAGGTTTTTTATCCCTAATCGCAACAGAAATACAAAAGTAGGTTTTAGCATAACATAGATGAAAAGAAATGCAATTACATACCTGATTTCAAAACGAATAACCTGAGCAAAATATGAAATGTTCCACATAAAATTGCTTAGCAATGGCGAAGTCTACGAAATTAGTTGATTGAAATTGTAATCGGTGACGTTTCAGCCTGATAATTATTAATTTAATCATGTTTGTCTCCCCCCTGTTCGAATATTTATAATTTTATCTTTTTTGTCTTTATTTTGCTGCACATAAATGTGAATACAAAACTAGGGGTTGGTAATCTTTTCCTTTAACGTCCGTGTTTATCAAACGTCGACGGGGAATTTCAACGTATTTTCTATCTTCAACTTGTAGCGATAAGCAAATAATTTCGTCTACTCTTGGATTAATTTTGATCCTGAATTATATGGGAAAACGTATGAAATGGCTTGTCGTCCTAATAATTACGTCTCATATGGATATGATGAATCAAGATTTGAAAGCCTTGTCAACGTTAATTTTTATTGTCCAATATGTCTCAATGTCATAAAAGATGCCAGAATGTGCCACAATGAACACATCTTTTGTCGTAAATGTATTGAAGAACATCTACGAGTTAATGAACAAAGATGTCCTCAATGTCAAGATAATTTGACTGTAGCTACACTTCTTCCAGCGCGTGTTATAAATAATATGATTTCAAAGTTAAAGATCAACTGCCACTTTGCTAGTCGTGGTTGTCCGGAATTTATAAACGTTGAAGATCTTGAAAGACATGTTGAAAATTGTGGTTTTGCTCCAGTGTTGTGTTCTAATGAACGTTGTGACAAGGAGATAAACAAACGAGACAAGATTAAACATGAAACTGAGTTATGTGAATACAGAAAGATTCCTTCTCACGACTTTGAAGAGATTAGAGAAATGTTTCAACGAAATTTTGATCATGTTGAAAAAGTGAAAATGCAGATGGTTAAAATAAATGAAAAAATGGATCAAGATAGAACTGAAATAAATAAAAAAATTAATGATGTATCTGGTCAGTCTACAAAAGAAATAATGGAATTAAAGAAAGAAATGATGGAATTAAAGAAAGAAATGATGGAATCAAAGAAAGAAATGATGGAATCAAGGAAAGAAATAAAAGATGTTCAACAAAACCTTTCTACAATGACCAAAGAAATGAAAGCCATGATGTTTCAAATGTTTGAAAAGAGAATATAAGTGAACAACATGTTCAAACATTGACATCATCAATTGAAATGGTGATGAACTCAGTAAAAGGTGATATTTTGATTGCTGGGGGTTACCAAATCAGGAGTGTTGAAATATTTTCATGGAAAGAGGAGAAATGGTTTAACATTGCATCAATGGAAAATGAACACAGTTATGCTTCATCATTTATTTATAATGATAATTTATTTGTTGTTGGAGGTAATGAATGCACGTCAATTGAGACATTGAATTTTAAACAGTTTCCTTTGACATGGAGGATATTTCCTGCAAAGCTTCCTTATGGATTTAATGGTCATCAAACTGTTGTTTCTAAACAACATATCTTTCTCATTGGAGGATACATTGTTGATAAAGGACCATCAGATTTAATCAGTGAAATAACAATAACAGGTACAACATCTTATGTTTTGAAAAGGTTGTGTCATATGCCTGAACCACAGGATGGCCATGGAGCTGTTGTTGTTGATGATAAAGTTCTTATTTTTGGAGGAGAGGAAAAAGATGGCAAAGTTTTGTCCAGTGTTTTGGAGTTTAACCCAAGGACTCTTACATTTAAGGAAATGCCTCCATTACCTCATCCATTAAATGCAATGGCAACAGTTCGATGGAGAGATCAAGTTGTTCTTCTTGGAGGTTATGATATAGAAGAAAGTTTGAACAGTGTTATCATGTATGACAATAAGACAGGTAAGATTACAGTCTTACCATCCATGTTGGAAAAGAGAACATGGTGTTGTGCAGTTATAACTGGTGATACAATTGTTGTCATGGGAGGTTGGGATGATAAAGGTGAAGGTCTTAAATCAGTGGAGTGTTTTAAAATGGGAAGCAGTTCTTCATGGACATATCTTCCTTCAATGAATGAACCACGATATGGAGCCATTGCTGAAATTTTACCTTTTGGGCAAAATTATTTATAAGCATAAAATATTCTGTAAATAATCAGATCATTATAACTCAGCAAAACTTTTTAATATTAAGTTGAACAGTAAATATTTAAAGTTCAATATGTAAACCTTCAATGTTCTTACAGCCTTTGATTATTATAACAAATTACTGGAGACATAACTGAATTTAATGTTTTACAATGAGGTAAAACATAAATTAAAGCTTTTTGTTTTTGTTTCAGAATTTTCAAACTATACACTGTAAGGGTTTGACAACTTACGTTATTTTACACGCATATTTTTCAGGATTTTTGTTGTCTTTTTTTAAAGAAAAATTATCGTATTTTTAGTGATATAATTATTATTTGGAATTCTTGTTTGTTTTTTACATATTATTACTTTATGTAAAGGCATGTTTTCGTAATTGAGATGATAGTTGCCTACATTTGGTAAATATAAAATATATATATAATTAATTATACAAAGTTAGCGATGCACGGTCTGTTACGATGAAATGGGGAGAGTTATCGTTTGTTTAAACTATTTAAAAGTGATTTTTTGGGCCAAGTATGTTGAGAGTTGCAAACCTTGTCAAAATATAAGACCTCTAAGACCATATATACGTGGAAGTCACGCGAGATAGCGCGCGTGACAAACATTGCACATGAGTCATGAAATATATTTAGTACTATTTGAATAAATCGATTGCATGAAAAAATGAAAAAATACAAACAGATTTCTTTCTGGGCCGCCTATGTCGAAACTCGAAAGCAAATGGCAAAAGTATATTTGTTTACATTCATCCGGGACCTAAATTTCCCCCAGCTCCGCGTCCCCATTATCTTCGGTCTCGGGCTTGCACAGATCTGATCTCGAGTTTTCCCAAGGATATCCTCGGTTTGCATAAGCCTGTGCAAACACAGTAAACATCTTTTATTTCTTAAATGTCATGAGTGATCAATCAATTTTAGTATCTACTGTATTGCGTTGTTTATGCCTCATATCTATTCAGATTCCAGACGTTTAAAATCATACAGAAAGTTAAAGAAGTTCCGAAAGCTTCTACTTTATTGTGATTGTGCGCTCCCCCTTATTCCGTAAAAATCCCCCCGAAATTGTTAACAGACAGACACAAATCGAGATATCACCAGTATATAGGTCGCTTGGGGGAATGGGTCGAGTCATGTCAAGAATACTGTTTTGATACCCATCAGGCAGCAACAAGGAAAAATTGTGTCTCATGATTTCACATTCAGTTCCTTCTTGTAGAGTTGTATTAGTTTGTCGATCGATCGTCCTCAATTGTTATTGAAAATGTTTCTCCTCAAAAATATCTTGCTGTGGCATGCTAGCTGCAACTTCAAATCACAAATGTGTAAAAAACGACAATAAATAAATTTTTTTCAATTTTTTCAACGTTTTTCCACTGCCAAGAAGCAAAGCAAACATCAGCCGCCGAAAAAAACACACATTACTTCAAGGGGGAGCTTGACAAAATTTAGATGTATTTTTGGCTTTAGCCAGTCATGGGACAAAACTATAGAAGTTATCGTTCCAGATGTATTTTAGTTAAATGTCTCAATCACTGTGTCAAAGTGATATGAGTATCCCCATGTTTTGCGTATCCCAGTCCTTAAATCATTTGAGGTTTAAGCGTCCCCAGCAAATATGGCTCCCTTGTTTTAAGTATCCCTACCCGACCACCCAACGTTCACAAATCGTTTCCCTATGCTTGTTCCATTATTACGTTGGTTTCAGAGGTTTCCCTACAGTGGATTTCCCTTGACCTAGAAGGAACAACAATAGACTTTTTTTACACGTCATACAACATTGAGTAAAAATGAGTAATATCCTCGTACCTAAATCACAAAATCCCTAGTGATTTAAGTACGGGGATACCCAAATCACGGATTTACTAATATCACTGTCATAACGTTTACCTCAGTATGAGCCCGCAAGTTGGCGGTTTCATATGGCGGTACTCACCATTTTATCTGGTTTGCAGTTTCCGCTCTTTTTGACGTTCTTAAAAAGAGAAAGAGAATAGGAACACTTAAGGATGATTCGTGCATTTATTGAAAAAAGCACACATTATCCATTACTACTCACATTTTTTCCTTCCATTCTCAATTTCCTTGCAACTTCCAACCGCAACTTTCTTCAAAAAATGATTCCGAATTTGGATTCCGAAGAACCTTTTTAAAAAAGAAAGTTGATTAAGTGATTACATTTTAAAATATGTAATATGTATGGTTTAGTTCAGGGAGGACGATTTGGACAACAACGCAATTCTTACCGTATTAAGGACATTATAACCAATACCAGTCTGGGAACAATTCTGACAAAAAATTCACTCCATTTTCTACAGTTGCCGAGACTGTATCAACTTCCTTTTCACCAGAGTATAGGTGCCATCGTTTGATATACGAGTCGTATTGCTTTTGTGTACTTTCTCTCCAAGACTACAGGACCAATTTGGCAGCCCGGCCTGAAAGTCCACGGTCATGGAGAATCATCCCGAGATTAGACATAGAAGTAGAACCAGCTTTGGTTATAGTGGATGAACCAAGCTTGGTTGGCTGGGTTGAGTCAAAAAAACGCTTTGCCAGTGGCAGCTGAATTGGCTCCTGGAGTAACATTCTCATCACTTTGGGCAGCCAAGACTGAGTCGGCCAGTTCGGAATCACAAGCAGTCCTGTTGCCTTGTCTTTTTGAATTTTTTTTAAACTTTTGGAAAGATACTAAAAGGTGGAAATGCATAAAATGAATACTTTGACCACGATATATCGAATTTATTGGCATAAGCTTTCGGATCTGGTTTAAAAGCCACAAAAGACTTGAATTTATAGTTGAGCCTTGAGGCAAATAGATCAATATCACGTGTAAACTGAGCACACTGTATTGCCTGTGACAGGATAGCAGACTCAAGGGCCCACTCACTGGAGCCTGAGGCCCTACGCGACCCTTTATCAGCAAGGGTATTTGTTATCAGGAATATGCAAAGCGGAAAGCCATACCTTATTATTTAGACACCAATCCCATACTGGTGGACAATAACACGTTTAGCAAATAGAATGTTGATTTCCAAATTGAGAAGAATTCTATCATTGCAGGTAAATAATTGCTCTCTAGGCGATTTTGTTTGCACAGGGGGTGAGGAGAATTCTATATGTGCTTCTGACACCATGTCTAAAATAAATTCATCTTAGGTTAGCAATTTACATTTCTACACATAAGAAGCCAGTCTACCGGCCTTAAATTCAGTAACTTTAAGTCGGAAAAATTTAAAAGAGCAGGTATAAAGAGGAGGCAAAATCTAGTACCTGTAATGTACATAAGGTTTTGACCAAATCTTGTGTACTCAAGGTTTTGTCTTTTTCCATTGTTTCTTGAATTGGACTCCATAGCCTTACCTGCTCCATGGGAACGGTCCGGCCTCCCACGTCTTTCCCCCAAAAAAGAACTTTGGTCATTTTAAAATGGATGTTTCCAAGATTCTTTGCTTTTAATAGGCTGTCCTGAAGACCGTGATGAGGCCATCGCTTCTCCAATCTTATTGGATGCTTTGATGTTGTTAATTTGAGCCTGGAACTTTTCCCCAAATAGAAACTCAGTGATTGGTCCCTGTGGTGAGCAAATAGATGCAAATTCCTTATTTAAACAAGGTTTTATAGCTTGTCTCCGATGCATAGACAATTGATGGGGTAGCATGACCAAGCAATGCCAGAGTATCAGTATTTATAGTTAGCAGTTTATCTGTATTTAAATCAGCTGTACCCGAATTGGGTTTGAGCAACAACTCAGCTGAATGTGCGAGGGCTGTGCTTGCTTGTGGAGAGCACGCGCTCTCACGTGACTACTTAGCGAGCAATAACCAATGATGAAGAAGTAGAATCCAGTGGGGACTCGATCATCACCCCTCTTGATACAACACTTTAAAATTTAATACAATAATACAAATGTTTAGGTCATCAGGTCATATATAGATTGCTGTGTTGTAGAGACACTTGAGAAAGCAGGCATTGACTCAAGATTTGTAATGTCAAATAGACAACAGACGCTTTCTGAGCTCGTAAAATTGAATTTGTAGTCAGCATCTCCAGGTGGTAGGGAGAGTCGACGAAGAAGAGCCAAAACTATCAACAAAAATTGCATACACGAAAGATCTACAATTTTTAACAAGAAAATTATGAAAAAACTTTATAGAAAAGGACAAGGAACTAAGGGATGATCGAATAGGAGATAAAGTAGGAATGAATTGCTCGAGGGGTGTGGGACAGGGGGTGCAGACCTCTCCTAGCAAATGCTGAAAGAGACGCAGGAGGGTGCTGATTTGCTTTAAGTAAGCAATCATGGATTCAAAGATAGATGCGGAATGAAAAAATGGTTCGGTTTCTAAGTTGCTGTGCTAGATAACACAGTAAATGACAGTTGTAAGTGGATACGTATGAAAACTTTGCCTCGGGAATAGTTCTCTTCATAAGTAACACCGCACTGACACAGTGTTCCGTAAGAAATAATAAGTAAAGACCATTATAGTAAAGGATTTTTGTTGCAAGAAAAGGCAGTGAAATTGTTCAACGTTAGAAACACAATCAAATAGACTTAATCTATCAACTTAATAAGTTTTTACTCCGAAAAGTTTCCCCTTCAAAGCAAATGAAGATGTCGTGATGAGCGAATCCGTTATATTGTAAAGGCCTTCTTTAGTGCATAGTTATAAAATATCTTACATAATATCTTTTTTTCCATTACCTTTAGTATGTCTCCCTCTGGTTAAGTGAATGAATTATTCCACTTCACAACATACGTCAATCTGTCAAAGTTGGTTTCTGTCCAAGTTTTTGTCGGTGCTCAAGCAGTAAATAATTTGAGGAAAATGAGGTAAAATTATTTTGCAAATCTTCAACTGAATTATGTGATAAATGAAAAAGTATTGGCGTTGATGGATTATTCAAACTGGTACAAAAAATCTTTACATTAAGCTTTTCGATAGTATTGAAAAAACATCATAACTCCTGGATAGCCATTGTAATGTGAGGACTTCGAATATGCTTTGATTGTCAAATATGTAAGAAGTTCGATCTCATATTAATTTTTATAAATTTTGTGTTTTAGTTATTACAAGAAAATTGAGGTTTATGTTATTCAAACATCATTTTTAAGAATTTTCGTTTCCATCATGCTTACATTGCGTGCGAAAACTGGGCTCTAGTGGCATGAAAATGTCCACAGACGTAGACTTTCAATTTTTTCGTTCACTGGCACAGTACGGTAATATACAGTAGGTCCAGTTCGCTGTGCAACTTTCTGTTTATTTAATTACATTCCTGGCTGTCATTAGTCATTTCATAATTCCTATTGTGTCATTATGGTAATCACATAAGTAATAATATATGCGCGACACAAAAAAATTCAATGGAAAGGCTGTACTGTATATTTAGTATACTGTCTCAATGGTTTAACATAATAAAAGGCCTGAGTTCCATTGGCAAAATTTCATTTTTTGACCCTAATAAAAAAAAAACGTATCTTCTTCGGTTCGCTACATATCACTTCATGTTTCCTTTTTACATAAAGCTACTTTTTTATCATTTCCTGGGTTCTACCTGGTAGTTACTATATGATACCAAATTATAATTTAGATAAGTTCGTTTGTATAATTGTACTTTGGTTATCTCTTTTTAAAATATGCAATTTACAAATAATACAATTTTATCTTAGTAATACCGTTGAACTAAAATACATGCAACGCTGCCAGCAGCAAGAAATATTTGTCGTTAACAATGTGTGAAACACTGTTAACGATAAATATTTGTTCACTCAAGGAAGAACACACAAAACCAAGAAAGAAAAACACGTAAACGATTAAACATGCTCGCTAAAAAAAACAAGCAAAATTGTAAGTAAAAGATTTTTTGCGAAGACATTGAACATTTGTTTGGCTGATAGTATAACAAGAAAAACACATCAAACATATAAATGCTTTTGTAGTTTCGTATTTTAATAAAAACTATACCCCCGAAACACCTTCTTTTTTGTTTTTCATTCTTTTTTTAATCAAAACCGGTTGCTTTGTAATTTTCTCTACAAAAAAGCAGCAGTTAAAACAATTCACTCGCCGAGACAGAATCGTCTGGGATAAAATCTCGTGTGTTTGGATGTAAAATTTAACTTCGTTTGGTTATTAGGATTATCTACTACAGCTAGTGTTTCATGTATCATAGTTCAACGAGTTAAACGCAGGTATGTTATCTAGAATATTAATAATATCGTCAACAGGTTTGGTTCAGTCCCATTAAGATTTAAACTCTCGTAAAGCAGATGTACATTCAGTACCGACCTCGAGTAACATGACTTGACTCGCGAGTATCGAATAGCGAGTGGGCGAGTGACTCGCGAGTCAATTGCGAGTCACTCGAGAGGGACGAGTTGCGATTGAGCGAGTCACTCGCGATGCAGTTGCGAGTCACTCTCGAGTATGAGAAGTTTGCGAGTGAATAAGTGACTCGATATTTGGGAGTGGATAAAATAACTCGCAAAAATTTCTTTCTCCAGTATTTGAAATCGACAAACATAATCTTAAGTGTAGTGACAAGTAAATTTCGTTCAACATTTTGAAGGCAACGGTTATATATCTTTTTATGAAACACGGGAGCAAAACGACTATTCATTTGAAGCAATAACTCGGGACCTAATGACGTTAAAATCTTTTGAATTTTTTTACAAAAGCATTTTAACAACTTTACATTTTTCATTAAATGAGATATGATCTTCGCACTTAGCTGGACAATTTAAGCAATCGTCTCAGGTCCTGAAAAAATCAGGTGACTCAACGGGATTTTGAATGAAAAAACATTCATATTTACATTTTTCATGGCACAAAGCCACAAACGTTATTCGTAAAGCGGTAGAGACCATAGAGAAATGTAAAGTAAACGGCACGCAATCAATGAGTAAATCTAAATAGCGCTCAATTATTTTCTTCTAACAGTCTTAGATTATGGACACATATAATCTTAGAAAAGAATGCATTAAAAAAACGAATATTCTTTAAAGCCAAATATTTAAGGAATGTAGCTATGCACGACAAGTGTAGGTATAATCTTTTGAATTCGATTCTGAAAGAACTTCGTTGACCTGGAGTTTTGGATGTAGTCGCTATTGATATGAAGGCCTTACTATACACGTTGTTTTCCTATACACGTTGTTTTCCTATACACGTGGTTTTCCTATACACGTAGTTTTATATCGTTCTTGCTATTAAATGTTTATGGCCTTTGTCATTAGGTCCCGAGATATTGCTTCAAATGAATAGTCGTTTTGCTCTCATGTTTCATAAAAAGATAAAAAACCGTTGCCTTCAAAATGTTGAACAAATTTTACTTGTCACTACACTTAAGACTATGTTTGTCGAAATTTTTGCGAGTTATTTTATTCAGTCGCAAACAGCGAGTCAAGTCATGTTACTCGAGGTCGGTACTGTAGATTCTTAACGATTCTTTCGGCAAACCATTGTCACTGTACCAAAGTAACCTTCATAACCTACATTCATAGGATTATGACATTTACTTTGTTTTACCTTGAGTTGACAAATATCGAAACGTCGGTAATGAACTATCGGCAAAACGAAACTCAATATAATAAGACGCTTTCCAACCAAATTTGTCGTTGATCTCATTCTTCAAAGAATCTTCATCATTTTTTCTCTCCTTTACTACAGTCACATACAAACGTGGTTCTGGGTTGAATGTTATCCCGCAATATCCATTTATCCAAGAAAATCTACAAAACAATAATTCCTTATTTAGAACATACATCAAGTAGGAAAAGACATTTATTTTCGGTAAACTGGGCGATTTTTGCTAAAATATAGCGTTGTATCACAATTGAAATTTCATATTCGCATGTTTTTAAAAGCAAAAAACTTAATAAAACGTTTTTCAGAACAATTAAGCACGCGTCAGTCACTGCTTTGAATCATAAGTGCGGGAAATGGTTGAATTCATTCTATATTTTACAGAAAACGTTTGTCGTGCCTAATTACGTAGCTATACTTCACGACTTTTTAAATGTAAATACAACTTATAATTGAATGTATCTTATGCTTGGACAAGAAACCTTTGCAAGCATTTTTAAAAATTATTTACAAGCCTCAAGTGGACTTTTACTTACTGTTTTAATTTTTCAGTCACGTCTTTGCGAATACGGTAAAAGTCGTCAAGAAATCCTCTGGTGAAATTGGGATCAAAATCATCTTCATCAGAATCTTCATCATCAGAATATATTTTGGACACATCATTCTCACTCAACATTTCAGGAACATCTGAAAGACAAAATTGTTATTAAAACACAATTTATACGCCTGTGATAACGTCTGTGATAACGTCTGTGATTGGTGCAGTTACCTGCGCCTGAAAAAACGAACTTGCTTCACCAAAAATTATATTTTTTTACGTAAATATACTTATTTCTGTGATATTGGCCCAGTACCATAATTTTGCCCCAGTACCATAATTTTGCCATAATCATGCAAAAACGATGACTTTACAATTTTTAACCATTTTATTAAAAAACTTAAAAACTTAAACAAAGCAAAAAAAATCACACTCTTTTTTTTAACATATTGTTACATTTAAAACCGATTTTTTACCAATTACATTACAAATTATCTTGAAGTAATTAAATGCACCTATAACTCTGTGTACATATCTAACAGGATGGTTGTAGCTACATGTCATTCTAACTGATTATGATTTGAAATAAAGCAAAATAAAACAATAGCAGTATTGTATCTTCTTCATAAGAACATATTTGTGCCAGATAATTACCGATAAAATAAAATATAAGAAATACCTTCCTTTGTCTTTACAACGCCAGCTAAAGATGTGATGCATTCAGCATCAGGAGCTTCACATGACAGCATTTCTACAACTTATATTTTAAAAAGTGTCGGTAAGACAAGCTTCATAGAACGAGACGCCCGCCAAGGCATACACTTTGCTCAAGTGATTAAACCATTTCAGTAATTGTATGGCCTTATCCAAACATGGGGGAGTATAAATGTTGCAAAACTGAGCCTGGTGATTTTTATGCTTTTGTTATGATGAGCAACTTTCCTAATGGGTCAATCAAGCCAAGTAAACAAATGAAAACCATTTAGTGTTTTCTTCAATTTCTTGACTTTTATACATTTTTTGTGATGGTTAAGGACAGTAAAATAGTAATAAACAGTTAAGAATTGTTTTTTACTGTTGTATTTGATAGAAAACGTGTTTTAAAGACGATTTTTCGATTTATCATTTTGAATGATAAATTTTAGTTGAATGTGGTGATGATTGTTGTGGTGATGAATGTGGTGATGATTGTTGTGGTGATGAATGTTGTGATGATTGTTGTGATGAATGAGTTCCCAAAGTGGTGCCAACTTCACGGTAGTAATTCAAATTCAAGTCCAATTATTGATGTCTATACCATCAAAGCTTTTGTTCATATGTTATTTAATGGTATTTTAAAGAACTTAGCGTTTTCACCTCGGTAAATATACTTATTAATTAAAATTTAGAGATATAAAACACTCATTTTACATGTTCAGCTAATCTAAAAGAGAAATAATCTATACTTCAAGCATATACAAATCGACATCCGCTAACATATTCAATGTCGATAATAAATGCTTAGAAATCATCTGTAGACATGACTACACAGATAAATACTACATTCTACATATTTCGCTGTGAAAATCGTAGATGTTTACGCGCAAAAGGTTTCAAACACAATTACGTAGCATTGCATGGAAAGCATTTCCTTCAAATTTTTGTCGCATATTACTAGTATAACCAAACCGAAAGCATAATTTGATACTTCAAACTTCCTCGTTAAATTCGTTACATATAAATACAAAAATGTCAAAACTGAGGGATTCAAGAAAGGGTAGAAGGATTTATCTTCCAACATAGCCAACACAGACTGTTTCCCAAGCAATTTCTCGCGAATTTCTCTGCTAATGTTTTGATCATTTGTTCAGGCTTAATTTTTATCGCCAATCGCAAAAGAGATACATAAGTAGGTTTTAGGATGACATAGAATAGAAATATAATTACATACCTGAGTCCAATATCAATAACCTGAAAAAATTATGAAATATTTCACGAAAACAATATCGATAAGCAATTACGATAAGCATGTGACAAAATATGTCCCACAAATGCTGTTTCGTTCCAGTTTGGCGAGTTATGATTAAAGCAATCAGAAATCTATTTGTGTTTGTTTATAATTTTCGTTTTTGACCAATCATGGTTTCGTAAAATTTGACGAGCACACGTGTGACCCCATGATCCTTTAGCAAAATATTCTCCCTAATTATTGCTTTGGCAGTTCTGGCAGTCAGGATATTTTACATAAAAAGTTTCAAATATCGCAAATACAAAAGACAAGCATTTTCTAAAAAATCTCGGCTCACACGAGCATCCCATCGCAAGACTGCTTCAAAATCGGTTTGCAAAGTTCGCATGTTAAGTATGTAATAACGAAGCTCTGGAGAAGTGTAGCACTCAACCAATGTTGCCAGATCGTGAACAAAGTTCACAGATTTGTTAACTTTTTGCTCTCTTCATGAACATTTCATGAACATTAAAAGTTTGTGAACTTTTTGTGAACTTTCCTAAATATTATGCATTTTTGTATTTTCATCATTTTCATAAAGAATGTATAGATAAATCATAATTCAATGAAAAGAAAATCTTCCTAGCTCGATAGTTCTTACAAAACAACGACGATTTTAAAATAATCCGATGTTTTCCTAATACTTCCGACAGTTTTCGAAAATATCCGAGGTTTTCCGAAAATTTCCGAGTTAATCCGTTAACTTCCGATCTTAAAAATTAGATGTAATATAAACTTTTTGCCATTTTGATGAACTTTTGACGCAAGAATATTTTAAAATTTCATCTGGCAACACTGCACTCAACAAAATTGTTACAAGCCGTCATTGACGTTAAAGTTGTCAACTAATGAACTTATAACTTTTTTTACAAAGAGGTTTTAGCATAGAAAATATATAGTGCATGTACATAATGAGATTGGTGGTCGCAAGAACTTTCTTTGGACTTTCCTCATGCCAATTGATAGTATTTGCTTAGACATGCAAGTATTCTTCTTGTCATCTCTGTTGTAAAGGCCACGATACCACGATAACAAATTAACCTGCCACGATAACAAATTAATTCGCCCAGATGGGATTTTGGAGATATGGGAATTTTCTCATAGAAATTAGTTGATATTTTGGAGTTCATAAAGGGCTCAGACCTCTGTCAGCGTCATCCGTCACAGCTTCGCTATAGCAAGGCAAATAACATTGATCTCAGTCTGAAAACTTTTTGATATCATGCTTAATCTCATCCAGTAGCGGATCTCGGGGTAGTCAGTCACAGCGAGCCGCAGTGAGCAAAACAAATTAGAGCTGCTTAATTTTAAATTCAGAGTACTTTGAGAAAAGCACTATTGGTTTTGAATTTCTAAAGAATAAAATTTCACCAATAGACTTGTCTCTGAGGGGCTTAGAAATGTAAATATATTCCAAAATATGCAGCAGTAATTTATTTTGACTAATCCTATATCCGCCACTGACCGCAAGCATTAATTATTAATTATATAACAATTGCTCTTATTCATATATATGTTTCGCAATTGACTGATCATTATAAATTTTTATCACCCCGAAGAAAAATGTCAATTACTTTCATATCATATGATTTACCTCAGTTAGTTACTTTGTACTTCGCCTCCTTTCATCCTGCTCTCCTGGCCCCCAACTTTGCCTCCCCCAGGCCTAGTGATGCGACTAACGTCAAATTGAGCAGTTTTTCAACAATAGAAATTAGCACTTGAGCTACAGATCAAGCACTTAAATATATTTATGCAGCAATACAATATTATTTACGATATAAAACGCGTTTATGGGTAGCAAGTAGCATGGACTGGGTAAAGGCCTATGGTATTGGTGAACAAATACCAAACTTTAGCAAAGTGTCCATTATCTTTGAACTAGAAATGATATGATTTGTTTTTGAAAGGGTAATAAAAAGAAAATACTTCGAGGAGTCTATATTTACACCAAAAACCAAGTCTAGCCGACAATTTAAAAAAATATAGTAAAAAACAAATTCTGAAGAACCAACCTTGAGATTACAAATTGTGAACAAGATTAAGAATTCAACTGCAGGTGAAAATCAATGTGACCTTTATAGAATGGTTCTGTCACAAGACTTTCTTTTCCCAACACAAAGCCTGTCATGAGGAAAATTTGACATTTAAGAAATAAAAGATGTTCACTTCCCCGCTTTCGAGAGCGCTCACAAACTTCTCCGAGCTTTGCATAAGCATGTGCGAAGACGAAAAACATCTTTTATTTCTTTTATCAATTTATAATAAGGGAAAACAAACAATTCAATTTCTCATCTAAAATGTTTGATGATTGATTTGCAAAATTCATTTTGTCAGATTTTATTGACTTTGCTCAGTGATAAGTTTGCACAGGCTGATGCACGCATATCTATAGACCAATCAGCTCACGCATTTTATTATTTTATTTTAAATATAGCTATATTACCAATAAATCTTGTCACAAGCAATTTATTTTCGCCGAATCATCATATGTGAATCTATATTGAACAAGTAAATTGAGCGAGGTATCTGTTTAATATATATTTAATATGTATTAGCTCAAAGTTAATACATTGCTAATATATGCTGTAATTTTTTCTTATAAAAATTTTTCTCGCGCGTGTAAAGTTCATGTTTTGTTATTCACTTATTTTATTATTTTTTGGATCGTCACGCGAATGTAAAAATTGAGCAATAACAGCTAGACATCATATTTCCATCTTTTGTGCGTCTTTTTGTGGTTGAATTTGTTTGTAGTAACAAATTAAATAAAAAATTGTCAATATTTATCCACAGGCATAAAAAATTTTGGACTCTTAAGAATTAGTATTTGTGATTCCTTTCCATGTTGCATACATAGTTCAAATCGTGCAAAGAATTACCGGCATAACTACATCTGTCTCGTTACAGCACAATAAATAGAGATTCATGATTAATGGACTTATATCAGGAAAAAAATTTTCCATTAACGCGTAATCTGCAAATTAATTAGCTATAGTAGCAAAGTTGATTTTATCCAAGTGAAAAATTTCTTATTGTGGTCTTCGGTAAAAAAGATTAAAATATTATATGATGGACTGCAGTTTATTGCATGAAACAGCAGGGTTAACTATGACCTGATAGCTGTGAGCTTGATAAAATTAAATAATTTAAAACGAGGAGCGTTATAAGAAAGGTGCTTGATGTTAAAACAAAAGTGAAGTTATGTTACTTGATCAGTGTTCAGATTTCCTATGTATCATTAGTCGTGTACCACCCACTTTAACAACTTAAAATGCTAGATTATGATCTTAAATCTCTATTATTCATCTCTCTTTTTTTAGCAACAACAAAATGATATGCTTAAGATACGTCGTGCTTCTGCTGGCTTTTTTACATTGCTCACACACCTTCCCTCACGTAATAATACAAGATTTCGAAAAACCAGGTAGATAATTAACTTTTTTGCTTTACATGGAGAGCAATTAAGAGTGTAATCAAATTGTAGGATATAGAGCCGGTTATTTCTGCCTGTTCTTCAGGCAAAATCTTGAAAACTTGTCGATACCCTCAACCGAAAAAAAATCGAATAAATGCACTTTTTATGCTGTCGTATATGATGAGATTGGCTAATTTTTGCTGAGATTTTTGCTCATAACTTTTTCACGTAATTTATTCCAATATTGTAAGTTTAATTTATCTTGAAATTGTAAGAGAGTTGTAACCCTGAAGCTCAGTTTTTTTGGCTTTGTAACGACTGAAAAATAAGATTGCAAGTTGTAATGAAATTTGAAAGTTGAAGGTGACGAGGATAATTTCATCCGTGCGTGGCATTTTTAGAAGATGAATACTTAAATTGCAAATTTACAACAAAGTAAGAGCAAAGGTATTCATATCTTTAACATATTCATCGATATTGAAGTTGTTCACATAGGAACTGGTTGAAAACTTTGCTTCGCATAATGACAACAGAGGTACTTTAATTCGCATATTTTGATGATGTACATCTCGTAGAGTTTAATGATACCGTTTTCAACTTACTATTGTTCATCAAATTGTCTTTCTGATTATTTTTCTATGTCGATTTGATTTGTTTCTTCACTGATATAATAAAGACGTAATTTGAAATTATTATGATATTTGCGATGTGAATAACGAAGTGTTGTTAAATAAGTAAATTTGTCGCAATCTTCCATAAACGTCATTGCAGATGGAACTTTGGTAGCAGTTGTGGGATTCTGTAATATTTTTACATTTCTTAAGAATTAGCAGCATCATATAATCTCCAGTTGGTTTCAAAACAATGCAAGTCGACCTTGTACCATCTCAGTTTTCTGCAATTATAAAGCCAAGAAGACAAAATTTTTAGGACTAAATATCTTTGCCGGTTGTTCTGTCCCTTTCACAAAAATTTTGCTCGAATCAAAAGTTTGTAGGACGAATAAAAACGCAAAACTGTGATTTTGTAAAACAAAAGTATAGTATAGTGGGACCGATGCCAGCTCCCCCCCTCCGTAGCTCAGAATCAGATGAGCCAGTTTCCGGATTCAAATATCTTACAATATTTTATACATGGATTCGTTATCCAGTGTAATATACATATCAGCGCATGACATGCAAACTCTGTATAAATTGTTGACTATGTTGCACTTGTCATGCAAAATCAAATGCACTACACACTGGTGAAACTTGCATGAAAATTACTTTCAAAGTAATAGCTCTATTGTGTTTGTCTGGTTTAAAACACTGTAAAAAAGCTCACGTACAGTGAGCGGTTTGCAGAGTATTATGATTTGTTGATTTAACAAATGATGGCGATTGCTCTGTGTGTACCTTCAACAATTGAATTATACGGTCACTAAAAAAACACTTCCGTTTACTGATTCTTAATGAGTTTAATTTTTAAAAATGCCTATGTAGTTATACTTTTATAATTATTGACTCATTAAAGGCTATCTATATGTAAGAATGACATATGAACTTGACTGCAAATTTTGACAAACTGACATTTAGTCAATTTTTACGATTTTTCCAATGCATTTAAAACATCCTCTCTCAATTTTTAATAAGAATGTAGTCCATCCCCCCTGTCACAATCATATAAGATTTAAAAAGACGTATATAGATTGTTCTCTTTATTTGAATATATACTAATAGAAAGAGCTAAAATCTGAATGATTTCAGTAATATCTTTCTTTTTTAGGCAAAGCATTAAAGGCTTGCCACTGTCCAAATGGTAGTAAAGGAGTTGAACGCTTTTATCACTGCCATCCTCGTGAGAAGCTTTGTGGTTATGTGTACGAACTACATTATGGTGTTTGCTGCATCTGAGAACGATTGTGTGATCAAAAATTAGCATATTAAAACTAAAAAAATAGATATGTTATTTGATCAAGTTATTTGATGGGTTATTCATATAATATTAAATTATTTGAAATGTAAAATTTTTTCGACTTTGTTTTAGCGTATATCACGCGTGGGCCTTACAAAATACATTAAGAGCAGTAAAAGAGCCTAAAAGAATGTTGCTAGGATATAATTTGTTGATTTAAAAAGAGCAAGTTTTGGTAAAAGCACTTGTGTACTTTTGCATGGAAGTATGAAATCACTTGACATTGGATTTGTATCGACTCTTTTGAATTAAGCTTGTGTCAACGATTTTAAAACAAGCAAGTTAACATTTGTTTTGCATGAAGTTGATTTCAAAAGTTGTCGATGAAGAATTTGTCAGTTATGTTTGTTTTTTTTTCTTGATTCTGGTGAGAAAAATGACTTCAAGATTCTCCAATGCATTGGGAATTACATCGAAAACATTTGTGAGAACGCTCAAGAAGGGGTAAGGGGTGCTTCCGGAAGTAACCGCAGCTTTTTGCTGTATAAATTAGTTTCCATTCTCAATTTAATTACAACCTCGAAAATGTTACAGGGTTGATTTCTCCAAATGTAAATTTAATTTGAAAGTTGATAAAGGTCTCCAAAGATCAGTTTTGAAAATAATAAGCTTGAATGTTAAAATACGGCACAACTTAAATATCCTTAAACGAGATTGGATCGACTTTTCAAGGCTCATACGAACACGTGGACACCTAACACATGGTAAATTAAACAGGATTTCTCCTTGATCGTTGTATTTTGTCGAATGAGTGATTGCGCTGTGATATTTTACGGAGAAAGCTATGAACGTTCTTAACAATTTCTTCATGGTCGTTCATAAAATTCATTTAGAATTTTCACCATTCCTCTCAGAGATACAAAGGAAAATGTGCTACGTCACATGTCTGGCACATATCTTTTATTTCTTTTATAAATTTATAATTGCGGAAAACAAACAATTCAATTTCTCATCTAAAATGTATTAATGATTGATTTGCAAATTTCCCTTTGTCAGATTTTATTGACTTTGCTCAGTGATAAGTTTGCACAGGTTGTTGCACGCACAGTTATAGACCAATCAGAGATCAGCTCACGCATTTCATTGTTTTCATTTTATAAATACTATATTACTGATAAATCTGGTCACAAGCAATTTATTTTCGCCGAGTCATCATATGTGCATCTATATTGAACAAGTCAATTGATCGAGGTAAGTATCTGTTTAATATGTATTGATATTAGCTCAAAGTTAATACATCGTTAATATGCTGCAATTTTTTCTCATAAAAATTTTTCTCGCGCGTGTAAAGTTCATGTTTTTGTCATTAGCTTATTTTATTATTTTTGGGATCGTCACGAGAATGTAAAAATTGAGTAATAACAGCTAGACATCATATTTCCATCTTTTGCACGTCTTTTTGTGGTTGAATTTGTTTGTAGCAACAAATAAAATCAAAATTTGTTAATTTTTATTCACAGCCATAAAAAAATGTTAGTATTTGTAATTTCTTTCTATGTTATATAAATAGTGTGACTTGAGGATAGAATTACAAATGACCGCCAAAATTACATCTGCCTCGTTATAGCTGGAAAAAGTATCCATTAACGCGTAATCTGCAAATTTTTTCATTATGATAGCTAAGTTAATTTAATCCAAGTGAAAAATTTCTTATTGTGGTCTTCGGTAAAAAAATTCAATTATTACTTATTCCTTTTTTTTTAACGCTAGACTTGTATGTACAATAATTTTATATGATGGACTGTAGTTTATTGCATGAAAGAGCTGTGAGCATGAACATAGTAAATAATTAAAAATTAGGAGAGTTATTTCAAAGGTATATGCTTGATGTTCAAACAAAGTGAAGTTATGTTATTTGTTCAGTGTTCAGATTTCCTATGTATCATTAGTCTTGTACCACCCACTTTAACAACTTAAAATGCTAGATTATGATCTTAAATCTCTATTATTCATCTCTCTTTTTTTAGCAACAGCAAAATGATATGCTTAAGATACGTCGTGCTTCTGCTGGCTTTTTTACATTGCTCGCACACCTTCCCTCACGTAATAATACAAGATTTCGAAAAACCAGGTAAATAATTAACTTTTTTGCATTACACGGAGAGCAATTAAGATTGTAATTTCTGCCTGTTCTTCAGGCAAAGTTTTGAAAGCTGGTTGATGCCCTCGACCGAAAAGAATCCAATAATTGAACGTTTTATGCTGTCATATATAAATGAGAAGATTTGCTAATTTTTACAGGGATTTTTGCTCATAACATTTTCACGTAAGTCATGCCAATATTGTAATTTTATTTTATCTTGAAATTGTAACATGAACTTCTAACTAACTTTGTAATCATGAATCCGCAAGACTTAGATATAGAGTGTTTTCATCTTTGAAATAAGTACAACTTTTGAACGCTGCCTTTCCCGGTAATTTTGAAGCCGCTTCTTCTCAGTCCTTCTACGCAGTAAAAACACAAATTTATTTCATGTAACGTTTATAAAGATACTGAAAAACTTCTTTTAGATAAATACATCCATATTTAAAATTAGCCACTTAGTCTAATGATTCTTTATTATGTAATGACTCATACTTTAGAAATCATGACAGAAAGGCCTGCTTCTTTGAAAAAAAAACACACAGCCTTTGCGTGCTTTAATTATAACTTTGATTTCTTCAATCTTCCCAACAGTTCCTCAAGTGAATCACGAATGAAGCCAAAATTTGGGATATAATGTAAATGATTTATGTTAATTTCATGCTCTGTTAAGCATTGGATTAACTCAACGTCAAATGACGGCACCACCAAGCATGGCCGTTTTGACGTCACATGTAAACTCTGTATAAATAGACCTTTTCAAGGTTATCGCAGCCATATTGCAGGGGGTGCAAAAACATTGGGCCGAGCGCGCTGTCACGCATGGCGTCCATATAAATTACTAATAAATGCGCAAAAATTACCCATATACATATTGGCTATTTCTTTCAAAAATATTTCTCAAACTCGTCCATTTTAATAGTTGAATTATTATTTGCGACTTTTTATACGTGAGTCCAATTTTGTGGTAATCAAAAAGCGGAAAGTTAAAGAAAAAAATTGTTTTCCTTGAACAACTTGACCGTCGTTTGAGCGATGTTCTTGAGTTCGCAACACACGCACATGTCTACAGCAAAGTCAGCAAGTATCACAAGGAACTATTCTACGGCAAACTCTTATTAGTATTTCCAATTATTTGTAAAGTGACATTGCTATTTTTATTATTATGTATGGCGACTTAACAGCCAGAAGAAGAAACAGCCAAGTATTCAAATAAACACTTAAAACTGTTAGTCGATGGCAGGCGGGTGTGAAGCCTTACATCATACTCTCTCGTCAACTGTTCAAATTCCAAAGAGGCAGGGAGTAAAGATGCCTCAGATTCTGCTGGATTTCCATCAAAACTTGAATCAGAATCCTCGGTGTCTTAGGATTGATAAGGACGCTTTGATGTCGTCCATGTTTCTCTTCCTTTACGTTTAAGTCCTCGATTGCTCGTATTCTGATAGCGTAATAAAACCGAAGGATAATCCGTTCCGCGATTATTTGGGGTTCTTCTTCTCAAGGGAAAATAATTTGAACAAACTAAAGTACCTTGTGCACCAGGCTTTGGGTTAAAGTCATCGGCTCTGCTGTTCGCAATTTGTTTTCGCCAAATTTCAGCAAGTGCTTGATCTTTGGGCCACTTGTGAAAAACTAAATTTTCCACGTGAGACCTCTTAACTTGATAATAGGGATAGCGTTTATCATTATCGCAATATACAACTGCACAACGCGCATTTTTTACCATTTCGGAATAAAAATTCGCAAATAATAATTCAACTACAAAAATGGACGAGTTTGAGAAATATTTTTGAAAGAAATGGTAAATATGTATAAGGGTAATTTTTGCGCATTTATTAGTAATTTATATGGACGCCGTGCGTGACCGCGCGCTCGGCCCAATGTTTTTGTACCCCCTGCAATATGGCTACGATAACCTTGAAAAGGTCTATTGTTGACTATATTGCAGTTGTCATGCAAAATCACATGGACTATACACTGGTGAAACTTGCATGGAATTTACTTCAAAGTATTAGCTCTATTACGTTTGTTACTGCGAAAAAGCTCACGTACAGTTAGTGGTTTGCAGAGTATTATGATGACGATTGCTCTGTGCGTACCTGCCACAATTGAATTATAAGGTCACTAACAAAACATTTCTGTTTACTGATTCTTCATAAAAAGCATAATACAACTAATTTTAATGATTTTTAAAAATGCCAAACTGACTTTTAGTGAGTTTTTACGATTTTTCCAATCATATAAAACATCACCTCCAATTTTTGGGTGGAATAGAGGTCATCTACCCTGTCACAATCATATCAAATTTCAAAAAGACTTAGATAGTTTTCTTTATATATACGAAAAGCAATGGAGTGGTCTAAGTCTGAATGATTTCAGTAATATCTTTCTTTTTTAGGCAAAGCATTAACGGCTTGCTACTGTCCAAATGGTAGTAAAGGAGTTGAACGCTTTTATCACTGCTTTCCTCATGAGACGTTTTGTGGTTATGTGTACAAACTACATGATGGTGTTTGCTGCATCTGAGAACGATTGTGTGATAAGAAATTAGCATATTAAAACTAAAAAAATAGATATGTTATTTGCTCTTGTTATTTGATGGTTTATTCATATAATATTAAATTATTTGAAATGTAAATTTTTTTGACTTTGCTGATATCTCACGTGTGGGACTTACAAAATACATTAAGAGCAGTAAGACAGCCAAAAAAGAATGTTGCTAGGATATAATTTGTTGATTTAACAAGAGCAAAATTTGGTAAATGCTCTTGTGTGTATTTTTGCATGGAGTGAGAGGAAGTGTGAAATCACTTGACATTGGTATTTGTATCGACACTTCTGAATTAAGTTAACATTTAGTTTTTTGCATGAAGTTGATTTCAAAAGTTGTTGATAGATATTGTCAGTTATGTGTAGTTTTTCCTTGATTCTGGTGGGAAAATGACTGTACAATTCTTCAATGCGTCAGGAAATACGTCGAAAAATTGGCGAGAACGCTCAAGAAGGGGCAAGGTATGCTTCCAGAAGTTACCGGAGCTCTTACTCGAATAACTTAGTTTCCATTCTCAATTTAATTACAATGTTACAGGGTTGATTTCTCCAAGTGTAAATTTAATTTGAAAGTTGATAAAGGTCTCCAAAGATCAGTTTTGAAAATAATAAGCTTGTATGGTAAAATACGGCACGAGGAAAAATCCTTAAACGAGATTGGGTCGACTTTTTCAAGGCTCATACGAACACGTGGACACCTAACACATGGTAAATTAAACAGGATTTCTCCTTGATCTTTGTTTTTTGTCAAATGAATGATTGCGCTGTGATATTTTACGGAGAAAGCTACGAACGTTCCTAACAGTTTCTTCGTAGTCGTTTGTAAATGCATTTAAATTTTTCACCATCCTCCTAAGAGATAAAGGAAAATGTGCTACGTCATGTGTCTGGCACACAAAAATTAACATTTTCTTTGTTTTTTTTTAACAAGTGCCACACTCAGTAAACGTTGATATGCCAAAGTATTAAAAGAAACATGAAATACTACAATGAATAATCATTATTATTATGCAAATAACCTTATGGACTTTGTGATACTGAGGACCGACTGGGAGACTGGGAGAACTTGTATTTAATGTTCACATTTCATTGTAAGAGTTTGAGAGCGTAAAAATCGTTGATACAAATGGCGGATTTTTCAAGAAAAGCGTTAACAATTTTTATTCCTTTTTTCCTGTTCACATCCAACCATAGAATAAGATTTTCCAGCACCTGTCTGTCTATAAGAAAACAGTGAACAATTGAACCATGAAAAAAAGAACGGAATGAATTATCCGGAAACTGGAAAGAATCGGTGAAAATTTCCTATCTTGAAAATTTTATCCATCTTAAAAGGGTAGGAATCAAAAAATCAAATATGATGAGCCATCCGTAAAAACACAATAAAACCGGAACTCGTTCCAAAAATATGCTTCAAAAGTGTAGCTTTAATCGTCACACACAATCCTCTTATGACTGGGATCTAAGCTTGTTTGTAATCTGGGACGCTGTAATCTGTGTAATCTGTAACGCTGAGTTTATTATCAAAATGCAGAGCGTAAGTAAGACGCCGTAAGTAATGGCACCGCCACTGCAGGTATTAAATTTTTTTAATAAACCTATTTCTGAAGATCTTTTTTATGTACACCATCAGTGACGTAGGCAAATAGCAATTTTAGTCATGGGACAGTAGTAGTTATGGTGCAGGTATGGTCCCGGAAGTAAACGGAGCTCTTACCCGTGTCAATTAGTTTCCAGTCCTAGGAAGTAAACAGGGCGCGCGCGTGTAAACCGGAAACAAACTTAGCGGGGGAATGTTGAATGTGATAGGTTATCATAATAAAGGGAAATGAAACAATTGACAAGAAATATTATCTAATTTATTAAAGCATCCAATAAAATGTCTTAAAGCCCTCATTGTGTATTTCATTACACGATTCACTATATAGTCGAACTATCGTCTTAAAAAATGTTATTTGCGTTGTTCATTATTGCATTGCTTTTGGACGTTTTGAAAAAAGACAAAAAATATGGCACACATGTTTAATCAGATATATGCAGACACTGTTGAGTTTGAAGAAGTTAGTCACAGCGATCTTATCAATTTGATTTTCGTCGATTTTATAAGTAAAAAGATTCAAGAGCTACGAAGAGCTGAAAAGGATGAAAGTAAAGCAGATCCTTGGGTAGAGTATCAAAACGTTTTAGAAATGATGACTGAGGAAGATCGTTGGTTCAATTTTGCAGCTCGAGCAGTCGAAACAATTAATCGCGAACATGTCTGGAATGGAATATGTGAAGCCTTTAAGTTTCTAAAGAACTGTGGACCTTCGAACTCTCACAAGACATATTTTGACAAACTGTTTAGTGCTACTTGGGTAGAACTAATGTTAATTTACACGGAGACAAAACGTCCTCCTTTTTTTCAACATCTCTTTGACTATGCTGATTGTAGTTGTAAACTGAAATACAAATCAACTATGTAATTGCTTTGACAAAAAGAAAAAAAAAAATATAAATTTCAATGTTATTGCATTTTGACTTCAGTTGTTTTATGACCATGTCATTGTGAAAATGGGAATCGGTAGCAGCAAACGTGAAAATAGAAATGCAAAAAGGGATAAAAATCATAATCGTCAGAAAATGTTTCGCTTGGGTATAAGTTTCGGACGCAACGATCTCAATCTTGAGGGTCATTTGCAAGCAGGATACACAAGTAAAACTGTTAAAATTATGGACCCGCTGCGATTAAACTTCCAACAGATAATGCGATAGAAGAAACACTGCCTGTAACTGAAAACATTGAACCCGTCGATAATGAGTAGTTAAAAGAAATTGACATCTAATTGCAAAATTATTATCACGAGAACATTGTCATGAGTAACGTTGACCAGTACTTAGCCGGTGTATACTTCAATCCAAAACGTCCTGGAAGCTACGGAGGTGTTGAACGTTTGTACCGCGATGTAAAGGCAGAAGGAATATATGACATTAGTCGTGAAAGAATTAAAGAATGGCTCATGCAACAAGACGCATACTCTTTGCATAAACCTATTCGAAGAAAGTTTGAAAGAAATCGTGTCGTAGTGAGTGGTATTGACGACCAGTGGCAATTGGATCTTGCAGACATGCAATCTTTGCAAAAGTATAATGATGGTTATCGCTATCTTCTTATCTGTATCGATGTTTTTTCCAAATATGCATGGGCTGTTCCATTAAAAAAGAAAACAGGATCGTCGTTGGTAGAAGCTTTTAAAAAGATATTGTCATCAGGGCGTAAACCGACACACATTCAAACGGATCAAGGCTCGGAGTTTTTAATCGAGACTTTAAGAAACTTTGGCAGAAGAAAACGTTACCTTATTTAATACATTTAACGAGACGAAGGCATCCATCGTTGAACGTTTGATACGTACACTGAAAACTAAAATGTGGCGCTACTTCACAGCAAACAAAACCATGAGATACATTGACATGCTTCCTGATCTACTGTATTCTTATAATCATAGCATGCATCGCAGCATTAAGGAAAAACCGATCAACGTTACAAGTGAAAATGAAGATAGAATTCGGCAAAATCTATACGGGATAGCAAATTAAATAAACCTATGCATGTAAAATATAAGTTTGATATAGGTAACCAAGTACGAATAAGTAAAATAAAACGAAGGTTTGAGAAGGGGTATTTACCGAATTTTTCAAAAGAAATTTTCACTGTAAGTCAAAAAATACCGCGCAATCCTCCTGTATACAGACTGAAAGATCATGAAGGGACGAACTTCAAGGAACATTTTATGAAAAAGAACTTCAAAAGTCATCAAGAAAGACGATGTTTATGAGATTGAAAAAATACTTAAGAAACGTGGTAGAGGGGGCAATGTACAATATTTTGTAAAGTGGTCTGGCTACCCTAACAAATTTAATTCATGGGTACCAGCATCGGAAATACATATATAAAACGTAACCGTTTTCATGATTTTTTCATTTCACATTATACCTTAAAGATGAGCGGGACACACTTCTATCTGACATTACCTAGTAATGCATCTCTCTGTATTTCCTGAGAATAAGATTTCAGGTTATCGCGTAAAACTACCTCACGTTGTGAATTTAAATGGTAATTGGGAAGTAGGATTGTATTCAATTACATATCCTCATACATGGTACACGTTGAAAAAAGGTTTGGATACACATATATATGTAACTCACAAAACAGGTCTACCTACTCCGGTATTTGTCGACTATGGCTTGTATGAAAAAGCCTTCGACCTAGTAAAATCAGTTAACGAGACTCTTGACAAAGAAGTAAAAGACAATATCAAATTGAGCTTTGACCCGCGAACAGAAAAAATTAAAGTGCATGTAAGACAGGGTTACAAAATATCATTTAATCAACGAATGTCGGTCTTACTCGGCTTTGGCGGAAAAGACGTAGAGATTTTAAAAACAACCAAAAGCCCTTATGCTTCTGATTTGAGCGGATCCGTCATGATGTATGTATATTGTAACATTGTACAACCGCAAGTTGTTGGAGACGTCAATGTAAAATTACTGAAGGCAGTTGCTATTCAAGGAAATATGGAGACATTGCTTCAAGAACGTTTACTAATATCCAATACATAATCGTGCAAACAGAATCCTTTGAGGACATCGAAATTCTCTTAAGGGACGAGTTAGGAAATCCCATCGCATTTGAACGAGAGAAGTCGATACTGACTCTTCATTTCAGAAAACAATCCTTATCTTATTTTACACAAGAAAAAATATATGAGTGAAACAAACCGTTATGTTCAATATTATCTCAATCAACAAAAAGGATACGGATCACAACCTGTCTTTAGGGAGTATCCTGGCAAAAAGTTTATGGGAAAATGGGTTATGGCCTTGGTGGTTTATATCGTAGATTGCCTAGAGCTGCAATACCTTTGGCTAAATCCGGCGCAAAAGCTCTAGGTAAAATTGCCATCGATACAGGTGCAAACGTTTTGGGTGATGTTATCTCAGGTAAAATTTTAAAAAGTCTACAAAATCTCGTGTTACTCAAGCAGCAAAGGAAAGAGAAAAAAAAGCTGTAAACCGTATACAACAGTTTGCCCCAACAGGAAGAGG